CCCCCCCCCCCCCCCCCCCTTCCAAACTTGTCGCCGCAAGATCATAGGAATCTCTCTCTCTCGAGCATTTTTGAACTGCATGTGCATGTTTGGCAGAATCTATCATGTATACTGTTAATAGTGAGCTTAAAGATGAGATAGCGACTCGACGACAACGGTCGCGAGTCGCCCCAATAATGTCGAGTGCACGTGCCTCCCGATCCATCGGGACCCAGCGACCCAGGAGACCGATATTCTTCGGCGAAAATGGATTTCCTAGTTTCGACCAGAAAATTCAACTAAAGATCACATATTACATAGTACGTGAATTCATTCTACGAAGGAACAACGAAAGGTCTGAACACGAGATTTTATTCCAATTTCATTTCGACAGCTTCGAGTCATCGGTTAACGAAGTCCAGTTTCCAATAATTATTATTCCTTTGGAAATTTAATTGAAAACTCATAACTGAACGATCGTCTACTATGTTAATTGAAGATCACTGGGGATGAATGATTCGTTATTAAAAAGTGGCCAAGGATAATTATTTATAAATCCTTGATATAAATTCATCGAAAATTCCTAGATCGTGTCGGTGATTGGAACAGACAGTGAAAATAAAAATTACCTTTTTTCTTCTGGGGAGAAATCATATAAATAACCCTTATATTTTCGCCGAGGATGCTAAAGTGGCAAGGACTCGTGATATAGGATCGTCGACGATCCGGTCGCTGGGTCCCGTCGAGGCACGAGAGGGACTGTTCCACCGAAGCATTTCGATGAAACGAAAACGAAAAATCGTCTGTTTACAAAAATGAAAAAGGGTGGGAGAACGGGAAGGATTCGCCCGGTTTCTCTTTCGTAAACGGACGAAACTGGGAGGACCGTCTGTTTCTCCGTACCCATGGCGGAAACTAGGTCGAATATGCTTATTGGGACGAATCAGGCTTTTTTTCCAACGGAAGCAAAAAAAAAAAAGACGGAGAGAGATGACAGAGGGAGAGGAATGCGTGCGTGTACGAGAGATTAAAGAGGGGTCGAAGCTTAAAAGAGCTGAGAGAAACGGGGGAGGCGGAGAGGGAGAGACTGAAGGGAAAATATTAGGGTGAAAACACGGAGAAAAATGATTGAGACGAACAAAAAAAAAAAAAAAAAAAAAAAAAAAAAAAAAAAAAAAGAGAAAAAAACAAACAGAACGAAAAAGAAAAAAATAACGAAACACGCGTGTATTATAAAACCACCTTTCAAGTTTAACCCAGTGAACTCGTACTAGCATATTATTGAATATTATGGATCAATTGTTATTGGATTCGATGATTGTTTGCACCGTGGCACTGACACATAAATTTATTATTATTCGATTGAGGACTGATCCGATTGTTAGTGGACACGAGAACGACGACTCCTCTATTGCAAACGTTTCTTTCTTTTTCATTCGAACGGAATATAGTTTTCCAACGAGCTGATCGGAGGACGAAAGGAAACGCTCTGCCGTCCTACACGCGAGACCATCAAGAGCAATAGAACGTAATTCGAGGAGCGCTCGTTTCCACGCGTTGGACCAGTATTCAATTATCATGGACAATTTGGTGTGGGCTGACGTCTATGTTAGAGTACAACATGTCCATCCACTGCTGCTCTGTGCTTGAGCTACTTATCGTACGCAAATTGAACCTGAACTCGTTCTTACTTCTTTTTTATTACATACAAAATGGACGACAGTAAAATGTTCTTCGGGTATAATATTTTTTTCTTTGTTATTGTTATTAAAAAAAAAAACGAATCTGTTTTTAAGGTCCTGTTTGCGTGTGATAAATAGTAACAGTACGGAGCGTAACTTAGTCTACTAAAAAAAAAAAGGAAATTGGGCGTTCTCGCGGTTGCCATCTCGTGAACCGAGAGAGAGGTCGAGATCATCGAAAAGAAACTGAAGTTCGCTCGTGGCAAGGTTCGCGCGAGCAGCGCCCAATTAATTAATTATATTATTACGCAATTACGAAGAACTTTTAATCATGTTTGACCTTTATTTTATGGATATTTGCAGAAATTTGTGGTTTGCTGAATCTTGTCACAACTTTTTGAATGTGTGGAACTTGATATATACATAAACATTCATATACTCATATTTATATATATATATATATATATATGTATATATGTATATATACATATATATATGTGTATTTTACATATATATGTATATATACATATATATATGTGTATTTTACATATATATGTATATATACATATATATATGTGTATTTTACATATATATGTATATATTTACAATAACGTATACATATATATCTACTTCTTTTTTTTCGTTCATTCGTACCACTGTACTCATTGTATAAATTACACATTCACCGCCCGAAAAAAAAGAAAACAACGAACGACTTATTTTCTCGGCTTACAATCGAACGAGAATTCGATACGTTCTTGTCTTTTTTTTTCTTTCTTTTTCTTTTTTGTCCCCCCCCCACCCCCCACCCCTTTGAATTGGCTCATTTGTTAACGGTTGACAAAAATGTCTCACTTGATTGAATCTTGATTACTGGGCTTATTTTTGTTTAACATCACTTTTTTCGAACAACACCCCCTCCCCCCATTTACCCCTTCTTTACCCAAAGCTTTATTTTAGCTCTGTTTTTTGTCATATCTTGTTTTTTTTCTCGATGTGATCGAGCCTGAACGATTCGCGATTGGCCCCGTGAAATAACGATTAATCTTGAGTGTGGGTCAATTGGAACGAAAAAAAAAAAATTGAAATTGTACAAAGTAAAATTATACTTTTTTACCCTGGTAGTGTACTGCATCACAAAATTCGTAAAAATTTCGTGTTTTATTGCTAAACGTGTATTTGGCCAGTCAACGGGTCCTTCGAAGGTTCGATTAATTAGACGAATGTATTTTGGCTTTTACCTTGATTGCGTAACGCTATTTGCTTTGAGATCGGTTTCGTATTATATCTTAGTTTTAGAAGTATAAAGGTAGGTCGATCAAACGCGAGTTTTCATTTGAGAATAGTTTCTCACTTTTTTTTTCTTATTCTTCTTATCCTCCTCTGTTTGTTTGATTTCCGTTCGAATCATGACCGACTGCCTAACGTTTCTTTTTTGACTTTCCGATACATTACATATATATATATATATACATATATATGTGTATATATATATGTATATATATTAAACTCGTAGTGGCTGTATTGTTAGACTTTACCGTACTTTCTGTGTATTTACGTTCAAACAAGGTGAAAAGAATTCGAATAATCACGATCTTGTTTTTTTTTTCTTTGTTCACTCTGTTCCTTTTTATTATCGACGCGCAGCCTGTAATTTCGTTTAAAATGATTTGCCTCCGCGGATGTTATACATACACATATGTCGTCCGAGAACTTGATTCGAATGTCGGTAGAGAAAATCAGTGACAAGATGTACCACAGATTGCTCCATTCTCAGATTCCAAACGTTACACGTACTCTGTTGTGTTTCTTTAATTCCACGGTACAAGAGTTGCCGGAAGTAAAATAGTTTTGCTAAGCTATTCTCAAGTGTCTCGCTTTACCAAATCTACGCATCTGTCGAGAATCCAACGTGAAATCGAAATATTTTTCATTCCCCCGAACCGATGATCAGAATATATTATTCCTTTAAAAATTTTCGGTAAAACGAATAAGAAGAAAAATGGACTCTCGATGGATACGTAAAAAATGTTTTTTTTTTTTTGTTTTAACTATCAGATGCCTGTCTTGTACCAAGCGCAGTTTACGCGAATGCATCGTGAATTATTCATTTTTTGTATCTCTGGTTATTCTTTTTTTTTTTTTTCTCTTATATAATTATATATTTTCTCTGATTGAACGCTCGTTTTTCTCCCGGTTGTCAGAACTTTTTCTCACTGTCTCTTACAATATCTAATATCCGTGGAATGAGAAACTTGCGTGCTGACGGGTAAACTCGAACGGTAACAAGAAGGCAGCGATACCGTTTTTTCGGTTATTTCTTTTCACCATTATTTAGTGACTAACATTGTTTGAGCTTTGAATAGTACCTTGATAAAAACGGTGTATGTCATGTGTAAGATATACTTGGGTGTGGGAGTACCACTTTTGGAGTTGGGACGTAATCGACGCCAGGTCATCCGATTCAATTATTAATCGAACGTCGGTAGAATAATGAATGATGTTGTGTGTTTGCCAGGATGATTGTTGTTGGACAAGGCGTCGGAGATGTCCTGACATCGACGACACGAGTCAGATGATCCTACGGGGAGAACTGGTGATGATACTGGGGTGTTAAAGTCGAGTACATAGATATGATCGACATGGTTGAACGATGGGAACAGTTTCAGTGTTCTCCCTGTTGGTCTCTGAAACGTGTCGTCATTTGTCCTTTCTGGCAGTGGTACCACGTACCGTTGGCTTAGACGAACCTACAGCCAACAAAATGAACGGACCTGCATTTTCCATTGCATGTGTTACAGCATACCCGGTGACACCTCATCCACCAACAGGTTTTGTCCCTGCCCCGGCACAGCCTGCTACCTACGGTGGTACACGTAAGAGAATCATCTCTGGTTTCATTTTCTTTCTTTCTTTTTTTTTTTTTCTTTCATTGGTCGTTACGATCCCATTATATATGTATTCTGCAATAGTTGCAGGTGCCGCACCGTATGGAGTCTTTCCTAATCAGCCTCAGCTCTATGCAGCCCAGGGCCCGCCACCGCCGACATATGATCAGACTCTTACACATCCTATGGTAAGAATCTGTGTTGTCGCGTGATTTTGTGGGACACAGTGAAATGTACCAGTATGAAATGTAATCCTCGACAGACAGTAGGCAGGGTTGTCTGAACCATAAGAAAGATTTTCACAGTGGTGGGAGTAGAATGAAATAGAAACTGAGAAATAATAATATACAGGGTGTCCCAAAATAGCTTCGACTCCCGGAAACGAGGGGTTCCTGGGATGATTTGAAACTATTTCCTTAGCAAAAATGTTATCCGAGACTTTGTTAACGACGGCACTTGGCCGGCAGACTCGCGCTCTGATTGGTTTGTCGTTAATATCTGGTTAACAAAGCCTCGGATAATAGTTTTGCTAAGGAAAAAGTTATTTCAAACCATCCAGGAACTTCTCATTTGCGGGAGTCAATGCTATTTTGGTCTAGTTGAAACAGAGTCTTCTTTGATTACAGTTTAAAGAAAGAAAGTTTATACAGCATTTATCCTGAGCTTGATAATACGATTAATCTGTGCAGATGTATCAGCCAATGTATGGTCAAGGATACCCTGGATACTTGGCTGGTTCATGTTATCCTGCATACGGGCCACTGCAATATTATCCACCGTTAACTGCAGCTGCAGCGTATTATCCTGCAGCAGCAATGCAGCCTCCAGTTAGGCCCCCTACGCTTGTGATGCCTGTAAGAAATTGCAAATATTATATTTTTTCCATATGTGTCCGCTGATAGATTTAAAATACATTACTGACTGATGTTGTTTCCTTTCCACAGAATGGGTTCGACGCTACTAATCGATTCGATAGTATCTCACAACCCGTCTTGCCACCACCCCCAACAGTTCCAAATGCCGCCCAATTAGCTGCAATGGCGAGCCACAGCGTGGCTATATCGCAAAAGAAAAATTTCCTAGGAGGAGGAACAGAGGGCGGTTACACCTTTTGGTAAACCCATTAATACCTTTTGTGAAACACTAAGTCTAACAAAGGCATATTGTTGTCGAGATGATCCATGTAGGCAAATCTGATTTTTGTGTTAGAGTTCTACTATTTTTTACATTCGGAGCAGCTAATATTTGAATTAGTATTAATTTCGTGCGCGGACCGATCGTGAAGCGGAACCAATCTCCGGAGAGGTTATCGTGAACGGCGATTCTGTTCTTTCGATGAAAATTTCAATTTCAGTGAACGTACAAACAGACGAGAAACGTATTCAGACGAAGTAAACGTGCGATTGTCTTTTCTTTTTAAGATCTTAACGATCGGTCGGCGCTTCGAACATACTATGAAAATTTGATAAGAGAACCATTAAGAAGGGAAGACTCGTGCAACGCTTGTCACATACGGATTTAAAGAAAAAAAAACAAAAGAAAGAAAAATAGCTACTTTAAATTAACTTGATGAAGACCAGAAGTATATTTTATAAAAGATGCGTGGAAGTTTGAATTAAGAGCCGGCGTGTTTGATTGAAAAAGAAAAATACGTCATGGTCTTGGCGATGACTTCACGAGAACGATCGAGCGATACAGTGAATCTATTTCTGACGTACTTAAAATAGAATCTAAGAAAATTATTATTGGAAAACAAAAGAAGAAAAAATAACGTTTTAAATTGTACGACTGCCAATGTAATCACATCTTAAGACAGTGTAATTCAATCAAGTTATTCGAATCATCCCCCTCCCTCCCCAAAGTACGTTTTGCTCGATCCTTCTGCATTTAACGTTCTATTCCGAAACGCACGAGATGTTCCATGTTTTTTTTTTATTATTATTAATTTAATAAAGGGGTTGTTGAACGCGAGCGAGAGTAGGGAACACGGTATTGTTCTTATTTTTAGAGTTAACGGGTGAATATGTGCACCAGTGGATGATACGAGTTGTCTCATTCGCCTACAGGGATCGATATTCAAAGTGTGTTCTAAGCCTTTTTTAAGCGCGACTTGGTTTTCTGCAAGGCAGACCGAAGAGCAAAAGGGGCTGCTCGTGTTATTTCTGTTACTTTTTACACGACTACCGTTCTAGTTTTTTCTTCAAGATTCTTTTTCCCACTGCTGGTTCTTCGCCAGCAAGCAGTCTTTATTTGTCCAAAGTAAAACCGTTTACTTTGCGAGAAACAACAACAAAAAAAGAATATAAAAACGATCATTATGGGTAGCCCTAACGTTTAGAAAAGAAAAGAATTATGTACGTGATAGGAGCCCGATGAATGCGTGAGAGTCATTCGTGGTTGTAGGAAGCTAAACGACACGCATTGTATTTCGAATTCGACGAACAGCCGATATAATATACGAATTAACATCGAATGTTTCAAGTCTTACGAAGAAAAATCCCTGTGTTGTTTTTATTCTGCATGTACGAATATGATTGTAGATGGGACACCTTCTCACAAGGTGTCTCTTTCCATTTCTTGCGACTCGAAAGGGTAATACAAACATGATGATGTATTCGAGGCTCCGGAGTGCCAAAAAGAGTGAAAGAAAAAGAACAACAAAATTTGCCGAATCACCGAAGATTCTCACGTATTCGACGACTTCGAAGATACTTACTACTCTATCTAAAAGAAAAACGATAAGAAAAGAAAAAAGAAAAAGTACGCACTCTCTTCTTTAACGATCAGTAGTTTTTTCTCCTAGTTGTTTGATGTTTCATTTTTAAACGCAGATTAGCTAGGTCGGCTAAACAAAGTTATTATTTAATTGAAAAATGAAAGGCTTGCCCGCGCCGCTCGAATTCCTTCAAGCAGGTTACAATTGCGCTTTGATTGAAACAGTTACCATGTGGCGTCACCAAATAAGGACACAATCATCGCTTCCCCTAGCTTTCTAGTTAGCCCACGTGCGCATTCGATTTTTGTAACATCCAAGAGAAAGAGGGTACTCTCCTCTCCACGAATACTCGAAGATTTGTTTTTACTGAAACGGCTTAGCGACTGTATGGCAACTGGTTTCGACCGAAGCTCGCGAAGGAAACAAATAGTTGACTCAATTTCAAAGTACAAATCGAATATCCATGTAAGTAGAGGATGAATTCGCGACGACGCGGCCAAGCCTTATCGCCAGCCATATTAGGCGAGTTGCAATGATGACACGGTAAGCAACGCAGCGCGGGTTCGTAAACAGCCATAATTTAGAATACAATGCTTATTCCACCATAGAGTTCTCGGACGTCTGACAATGATCGGCACTGTCGGAGTACGATACACTTCCTGTGTGAACAGTGTTAACTACTGTATTTTCATTCATAGTGTTCATCTTTCAGTACTTCTCCAGTACTTTTTAACATCTTCAAGGTACGAAGGTATTGAAATTGTTTTAAGACTCAGTTTTTGCTTGTTAACAATTTCAATTTGTTGAACTGCTTGTTACAGCTTCGTAAGAATATTTCTAATAAAATCAGTCAGCCTTTGCCTGGTACAAATGATGTACACTATCGTTTAAAGGTAGTGTCTAACAAAGAAAAACGATACTCACCGGAAGGATATGTTATACTCCAACAGTGCTCGTTCAGACCCCAGAACAAAATGGAGCTATCGAAGTAAGTACTGTACTGTGGAGTGCAAATTTGTTAATGCCAGGCGATGGAACGAATATTTTCTGAGATACTAGAAAGATCGTGTACCGTTTAAGAATGACGAGTCGAGAGTTGAGAATGACTGATCGGTATCTGATTGCACAGCTACGAAACGACTGTTTTGCTCCCGCGATCATAGCATATTATAGTGCGATGTGAGGCCTGCTGATTTGGACACATTGTGGTTGTTCCATACAGCAGGCTGCGCAATTTAAACACGATATTAATTAAGCAATGAAGATCGAAGAAACTAATTTACAATCGGTGATAGCTTAGGATAGGACCAAGAGAAGAAAAGAGAAGAAACGCAGTTCTATTTAGAAATTTTTCGAAATGGGTGTTCCGGCAAATTTATTTGATCAGTAACTCTTATACGTTTCACATTTCAACATTGTACGCGGGAATAGGCCGTTCGATTAGTCCTGTTCGTGATGTTTAAAAGCGATTTCTGTTGCTCCCGTGAATGGAGCGTAGAAAGAATGTTGCGATTTAATTTTACACGAATCAAAGGGATTTCTATTTTGCCTTGAATGGAATGAAAAACAAAGAACTAGTAAGTTCAAATTTGTACGAGACGCATTCGTCGCTTCGGATGTTGCAGATTTTTATAGCCATTCTTGAGACCGTTATTGTCTGCATTCTGAATTATGCAATTTTAAAAAACGCGCAGGAACTTCCTGAAAATCGGTACACAAGGCTTTCTAGAATTTTCTCGCTAAAATTGTATCCGTATGTTCTTCGAACATAAAGAAGCAAAGGAGTGCCCATTTCTTCTGGAATATTTGTCTCTCTGTATTTTAGATAAACTTCTAATTATTTCCCTAAAATTATGACAAAAGAATGCTGAACGATACACAAATAGAGTATCTAAGAACATATTGGGATTCAAACGTCATTTAATGCTTTCAATTAATGTTTATCCCTTTTTTTCTCCTATTCGTTGAACATACTTGTCACAGCTTAGCCAGAAGATTCTCGAACACCCCACCGGCATATTCTTTGTATTTTTGTGATATTCGATTACCCTGATAAATCCCGACGCAGAACAAAACGTAGGTCTTGTACCTGTATTTCAATTCATTCGTACCGTCGATCGAATCTAGTTGAATTTCTTATATATGCAAGATTGAAAAACCGAACATGACAGAAATGTGAGCAATAATTGGAACTGAACACTTTTTATAAGGCGAAACGCACGACTGGCCAAACTTGTTGCCACAGCGCCGTAAACCCTACGTTCACCTAGTACCTTCGATTCTTTTTCTACCAGACGTACCTACAGCTACTCGTATAATGACCAGCGTTTGATAAGGAAACGCGCGTTAATCTCAATCTATATTAAACAAGAAAAAGAAAAAAAAAGAAATCTAGTCCGAAGAGTCTGACTGATTGGGATACAAAATGTTACATAGACCGTTTTTTTTTTCTCAATCCGTGTGACGCCAGGTGCGAATTATACCGCAGCATTCACTTATACCTCGAGAGACATCGGAGAAAATTAACATTTCCCCCCTTGGAAAAAAAAAGAAGAAAACTCATGCCATTCCACTTGACATTATAAGTCACAATCGACACATGTACGAGTCACATTTAGGAACTTTGAAATACGCGGTATGGCGATGAAATTTGAAGAAAGACGAAGTTATGTCGTTGCTTGATATATATTTAAAAAAACAAAATGAAAAAAAAAATACAGACACTATTGTCGAATTTTTGCGAGTTTGCATATCAGCGAAGGGCTACCGTCGTTGCTAGCTACTTCGCTTACCCCCCCTCCCCCCTTACATTGCGCAATAAATGCACTGAGACAACAATTTAAAAGAATAATAAATGAACGAATCGAAGTCGAACTCTGTACATTATAGTCTACAAAAAATTAAAAAGAAAACAATTAAGACGGATATAAAACCCAATGTCAACTTTCATAGAAACTCGTACACACGAAGAAACAAACGAATTATTATTGCGTTGATATTTATATTTAAATTATTATTATTTAAACGATTTATTTGCAGATTTCTACAAGTTTAGATCACGAATTTACGCGACATATTTTGACCGATTATTTTGTATCGAGCGAGAGTGGTGGGAAGGTTTTATATCATAAAAAAAAGTGTGCAATAAGCGTAATGTCTATTGTAACAATAAAGAAATGATATTAATTGCAACGGTGAATTTGTTATTACGTTGAGCGAGCGAGAGCGAGAGCGAGAGCGAGAGAGAGAGAGAGAAAATAATAAAAACAAGAAAAACGAAATTGTACCACTGCAATCATCAAGTGTACTAGTTAATAAATACTATGATCATGGAATTCGTTACATCTTGCCTTCTCCATGCTTGCAGTACTTACAATATCCACTGCAATGATTGAATACAATTTAGTAATAAAAATTGTTATGTTGAAATACCAATGTATAAAGCAATTAATAAGGGTAGAAAATGTTACATAATATACAGTTCTGATTACCTTTATTGGTAATTAATAAACTGAGGATATATGCATCAAGATCCACAGTCTATTAAATAATTTATAAAATTATTTTCTTTGAAGTACAATAACGTACCCGAAATGTATTTGTTGTCAGTCTGGTCTGTCCAGAATTTGAATTACTAGTTTTATTTCTATTAGTATTCATATTTTTTACTAGATAAAACTTTCTTCATTGTTTTCTCTAATGCAGGTAACGCGTCACAATAACTATCTACACATTTTGTGGCACATTTTTCAAATTCATCGCTATATCTATCTACTTCATTCTGTGTTGGACTTGGTCCTATTTTGTCTTTTATTTTGTCATTGCAATCCATGACACATCTTTGTAATCGATTCTGCAAAAAAACTTTTTTTTAGCACACTGTCTTCCAATTAATAATTTTGTTATAGGAGAATAATGTACCTGAGCTCTTTCAAATTCTTGTTGAACATATTGTTGAGCTTTATTTAAAGAGCCACTGCAATTTTCTACACAATTGTGTACTTTTTGTATGCTGTAAGTCTCACTATCACAGCAAGTTGCAGCACACCTATGCATGTCACCCTGCAATTAAACATTACTACTTCTATATGCTATTAATTTCATAATATTCTATGAAATTTTATCTAAACCGTCAGATACTATAAAATTATATATTAATATATCATCGTAGATAAAGCCTGTTTTATAGTATAACCTGAAAGCACTATTATGGGCATACTGAATATACCTGCATTTTTCTAAGGTACGATTTGTCAATCTCTTCCACCATTTTATTCATATGCTCTTCAACCCGTCTTCTTTGTCCCTCAACCATTTTGATTTATTAGTTTAAAAATGTATCAGTATTCGAATAAAATGAAACTGAGAGCCCGGCTTCTTACAGAGCTCTATCAACACTCTGCACATGGAAAATCATAGGTTAGGTAACCGATTATACATGTGCAGTTACATAATATAGGATATTTTATAATTGGTGAGTTGAAATCAATAATAATATTGATAAATCAAAAATGCATTAAGTAGAATCTAATTCAATGAGAAGAGTAAGAAGTATTTTTAATAACAAAGCGTGACTCTGAGAAAGAATTACTTTTTATTTAAAATGATCATTATCGGAACTAAGTCAATATTTAACTTAAAGCCTTTATTGAATATAAAAGAGCAAAATGTTATTTTATATAATTATTTGTATTTCATTTCAAAGTTGAAATAAATACTTTCCATAAGAACTCGGCTTATGGTTGAATGCAACACAACGATCCAATAACGAATCTGCGTGGTAAGGATGCGCAGAAGCTAAATAGTATTGTATAACACGCACGCGCAATCACTATAGGGTACGTTCCATACGAATCGGAAACCATTCCGGTCGCCTTTCCTCACTTGACCGGCCAAGATGTTGAGTGGTGTATCGAAGGCAGCCGCTGGAGCCCTGAGGGCCGTCAAACCTGCCCTTCTCCAAAATGAAGTCTCCAAAGTATCCGGAGTTCTGTCCGTAAACAGTGAGTAACGAGTTAATCATAGATAATTCCTATACTTACGTCTTATTCCAATCATAAGCGGTAACAGTCCACACTATTCCCTCGCTGTGTTGCAGCCGAACAGTTACTGTGCGATTAGCACCAGCCTCCTGTAATATCTCCACCTTATTCTGACAACCTCTGTCGAATTAACATTTATCTTTTTTTTTCAATTGACACACGAATTTCGAGTAAATGAACTATTATATTGATTATATAATACGTATTATTTGACCGAACCGCAGTGGTGATACCACTGTGCCAACATGGCGGCATTAAGGTCACTTCGACTAATTTTTGGTTGCATCAAAATGATTTACTGACGTGACTGCAATCGGTAATATTTTGGACATTATTCAACGTTTATTCGAATCGCGTTCCCTCGCCTGAATGCTACAATGTTAAAGGTGTTTGATTTTTTTCTCTATTGAATACCATCAGTCAAGTCTCGTGGATGATCGATAATCTTTATTCCCTTGTATAAGCTCTCGAAGCTGTCTATATATTCAATTAACGTAAATTTTTCGTATTATTGAAGTGATTATGAATGTTCATATAATTTAGAACGAAAGATTTTTAGTTTTTTTTATTGAAGTATACACATGTAATTTGTATTATGTAACTTACCTCTTATAAGCATTATCTAATATTTTGTTGATTTTATAGTCATAAATATATCTCCTGCAGATCCTATGAATGTGGTGTGTAATTTCTGGAAAATAATTGAACACTGGATGCATAATTTTGGAGTGCAATAAACAATGATTTATTGTTGAAAAAGCTGCATATTTGAGTAACATGCTTATTTGTAATTAGGTAGGGATTATGCAAAAGCTGCAAGTGCAAAGGGTGGTGCCCAAGGAAGGGTTGTTGCTGTCATTGGTGCTGTTGTTGATGTACAATTTGATGATTACTTGCCACCAATTCTTAATGCCTTGGAGGTTCAAAATCGTACCCCCAGGCTAGTCCTTGAAATTGCTCAGCATCTGGGAGAGAATACAGTGCGCACCATTGCTATGGATGGTACTTTTATTATTAAATTTTATAAAACTTGTATAATATATTGTGACCGTTATGTTTACACTTTATTATAATTGTGACATTAACTGTTACTTTATTACAATCTATTATAATTGCACAGGTACTGAAGGTTTGGTTCGTGGCCAGACTGTCTTGGATTCTGGATATCCTATCCGTATCCCTGTCGGTGCTGAAACCTTGGGTCGTATCATCAATGTCATTGGTGAACCAATCGATGAGCGTGGACCCATCCCCACTGACAAGCTTGCCGCTATCCATGCGGATGCTCCTGAGTTTGTGGAAATGTCTGTCGAACAGGAAATTCTGGTAACTGGTATCAAGGTGGTTGATCTTCTTGCTCCCTATGCCAAGGGTGGAAAGATTGGTAAAGTTTATTCTCTGTGTATATTCACATCATGGTATAGTTATTACTCACATGATAGTATTAATATTTATTTGATCGATCAGGTTTGTTCGGCGGTGCCGGTGTCGGTAAAACCGTATTGATTATGGAGCTGATCAACAACGTAGCGAAAGCTCATGGTGGTTATTCCGTGTTTGCTGGTGTGGGTGAGCGAACACGCGAGGGTAACGATTTGTACCATGAAATGATTGAATCTGGTGTCATCTCGTTGAAGGATAAGACCTCCAAAGTAGCTCTGGTATACGGACAAATGAACGAACCACCAGGCGCTCGTGCTCGTGTCGCGTTGACTGGTTTGACCGTCGCTGAATATTTCCGTGATCAGGAAGGTCAGGATGTGCTGCTCTTCATTGATAACATTTTCAGGTTTACCCAAGCTGGTTCGGAAGTAAGTGTTTGCCGGTGCCGCATTGTTTGCGACATTTCTAACTTGGAATTTTTGTTTAATAATTGTTTACTATTCAAGGTATCAGCTTTGCTGGGTCGTATTCCATCCGCTGTCGGTTACCAACCAACCTTGGCAACTGATATGGGTAGCATGCAGGAACGTATCACGACAACCAAAAAAGGATCCATTACCTCTGTACAGGCTATTTACGTGCCTGCCGATGACTTGACTGATCCCGCACCTGCCACCACATTCGCTCACTTAGACGCAACCACTGTGTTGTCTCGAGCTATCGCTGAGCTTGGTAATTCAACTTGCTATTACATTAATAGGTTTCTGAAGAAGCTAAGATGAAAACTATCCGATGTCATTTAATAATTTTAGGTATCTACCCCGCTGTCGATCCTCTCGACTCCACTTCCCGTATTATGGACCCTAATATCATCGGTACTGAGCATTATAACGTTGCTCGTGGTGTGCAGAAGATTTTACAAGATTACAAATCACTTCAAGATATCATTGCTATCTTGGGTATGGACGAATTGTCCGAAGAAGACAAACTTACTGTAGCCCGTGCCCGTAAGATTCAGAGGTTCTTGTCTCAACCATTCCAGGTAAATATATATTCGCGTTCTGTTTCATTGTTGGTATACATTTTCGTTTCTTCCGATGCTTTGACTGTTGCTAACAATTTTTCTGCAGGTTGCCGAAGTGTTCACTGGCCATGCCGGTAAATTAGTACCGTTACAAGAAACTATTAAAGGATTCCAGAAAATCTTAGGTGGAGATTATGATCATCTTCCGGAAGTAGCGTTTTACATGGTTGGACCGATTGAAGAAGTAGTAGCAAAGGCAGAAACGTTGGCCAAACAATAAGCCATAACACAGTCATCGTAATCATGTCATTAATAAATAAATTAAAACGATCTTCTAATATGACAGGCCTGTTTATTGTTTATCCGTGAAAGGAATATTTGCTTTTATGCAGTGTTATCAGTGTCTGAACAAAATCGTAAAACGGGGATTAGAAGATTGTTTTTCCGTTGTCCGTAAATTCACGAAGACATACGAAATTGTTGAGAACATCATGAACATAATTACACGAATTTCTTATAATTTTGTTCAGAGTGTTCTCCTTATCCATAGATCAAGTCGATAAGCATATTGTTATAATTTAACATATACTTGAAACACATATAGTATGTGTTAGAAAGTAATAAAACTTTTACAAAAACGTACGGTTAAATGTGCAGTTTCAGAATCCTTCGTTTTCGTAAAACGTTCATTTTAAATTTTTAGGACGGAAATAGAAAGAATACAACTTCATTTTAGTTTAAAGAATATATATTTTTGTTTTGTCATTTTACTCATTGTCAGAATAATTTACGATTTTCAAAAATTGCATATCGTGGGGTATAAAATACTGTTCACTTTTGTTACAAATGATAGTCGAATCAAATGTCACGATCTGTTATCAAAATCAATCATAGGTTTCTCTAACCGATAAGTATCTTTCAGCATCTGAAATAGAAATAGATTTGTTACATGCGAAAAAAGTAACAGATAACATAATTGAGAAACATTGGTAAAAGGCGTTACCCTCCATTGCTCCATATTTAGGTAGACAACGTTCTGAATGTTTGGATTCTTTCCTGCGTTCGTTTGAGCCATCATCTCTTTCGTAGACGGTTGAACAACTAGGATTCCAGAGCTGTCTATAATTCGAATAAAATAATTATAACTGACCCAAGATGAAGAACCATCAGTAATTATTAAAAATAGAGGTACTTTTAGTTATTTTTATTTTTCCATCTCTGGCCAGAAAAGACGTTTGCAAAATATTTTCAATAGTTTTTCCAAAGTCGCTAGGGTGCAAAATCAGTTGAAAGAAATCGAGAGGTTTACGATGGGTTTTATAATATCGCGTAATAAACTCTTTCATTTTCACAGTCTGTTCTAAACCTTCCTCCTCTTTATCAACAGCTACAACATTTTCAGGCCTTCTTATCTGTGCCTGAGCTTCTCTAACCAATGGTTTCCTTCTATTAATTTCCTTCTTTTCTAAAGGTGCCAAAGTACCTAAAAATAAACAGAAAAGTAGAATGTTTTTTCTATATCATTTACAAACGTTATGAAAAGTCTCATGAAACCTAATAATGTGCTGTAGTCAGGTGTTGTTTTAAAACATTTTGTCACTTGGTTTTCTAGAAGTGACCAGTCTGGTGTTTCTGACTCGAAATTTGGAAGTTGCTTTACATGTTGTACCTATATTAAATAATAACAATTTGTTATAAAGGCAACAGTGTGCATAGAAGGAGAGTATATACTTTTTAATACGTACCACTTTTTGGGCAAATTCGGCTGTATCATAAGAACACATATACCTTGTTAGACTACGAGTACATTGTTTCAGAACTTTAGAAGATATATTCATCATTTCCGAATCCATTAATGTTTCCTCCTGATTATGTACTAGAAATAACACAAAATATTAGAACTATAAAAATGTATAAAACAAAAAAAATGATAACAATAGGTATACTTTTTTCTTCTAGTGTTGTTTGAGAGTTTATGGTATCAGCTTCTTCCATGTATGTTTCCAGAGTTACTATTGTATTATCATCGACTATCTCTTCTGCAAATTGTATAGTGATTACTAATGTATTCATGAATTTTACATTTACATAGAGATTCATATAGGGAACTTACGAAGAGATTCTGCTCTGGTTATCATTTTCCTCAAAATTTCCTTGCGCTCTTGTGGAGATCGTAAAATCGAGGTTCTACTTGAACTGGTATTATTGTTAGACATTTTGACTTTTTCCTCACTGGAAAATTAATATCAGACAGTGGTTTTTATAGATTTATAGCATATCCGAATGTGTAAAACACGCTAACAAAAACTATAATCATAAGATTTTTATTTAATTCTCCAGTTAACAGACTCACTGACATATTTGCATAAATACCTGCAATCTAATTATTATAGAAATCATTTAAACAAAAGCATTAATTGTATCAACGACAAAGGTATTTATTTAAAAATTACTAACTTCGGTATACTGCACAATCGAAGAATCGTTTACAACAATGTTACTATTATTCCTTAGCTATTATTCTATTCTATATAAACATTCGTTCAACAAAAACTTGTAACCACTTGTAATGCTCCGTAATCAGTAGACCTAGCACTGACTCATGTTAACCTTCCATTACTGTGAAACGAGCTATATGTTAATATTTACTGATATTTACGAACTGATTCGCTGCACTGACATGATCATTTCTACATATAAAAAATTACTTACTTATAATTATCGTTTAATTGTTTCTTGATGTTTTTTTGTAGCTTAAAACGGTTTGAATTGCTAGTGATAGAAAAGAAGACGAAAGTGGAACGGTGAGTAAGTCAATAAGGTGGACCACGAAAACTTTGACAGCTTCTGATTACGAACGATTAAGTGAGTGACTTTGTTCAAAAAGAAATTCAAAAGAACAGCAATGGAAAGCACCTCGAATAAGGTACTGTCTTTTATTTTACAATAATACAATACAATCTGGTGTAATGTCTGCACAATTCATTTTTAGGAAGAGCAAAACAATCAGGATGATTCAGATTCTGAAATAGACGAGCTAGAGCCCAGGCTCAAGTATGTCAGGATGCGAAACGATCTGGAGCACATATTGCAAAATGATGCAGCCAGCTGCATTGCTGTGCATCCTAAGGTGTCAATTGTGTAACATTTTTATGAATTTTTTAATGTATCATTCACTGAATTTGTACCGTGGAGGTTAAGCCACTTCATTACAGGAATATAATATAAATGCTGATTTTGTGTACAGTACTTTACAGATACTGTACAGAAATTTTATTTGTAATACATTTGTTATGTATACAATATTTTATTAAATTCTATAGATCATTCAGATCATATTGCTACTTACTTATTACAGCAATTTAATTTGTGTTTAGTTCCTGTGTCTGGGCTCTCATTGGGGTATGATCCACCTATTAGATCACCAAGGGAACAATATACAGTCCAAAAGTTTACAAGCTCATACTGTTGCTGTTAATCAAATCTCTATAGATCATAACGGAGATTTCATTGCATCGTGCAGTGATGATGGAAAAATTTTTATATACGGCCTTTATAGCAAAGAGAATAATCATAACATGAGCATGGGCAGACTGATGAAAAGTATTGCCATAGATCCAAATTATTATAAGGGTGGTAGTGCAAGAAGGTTCATCACAGGTATATATCCACGTAGATGTATGTTTTATCGTGCTTCCCAAAGCAGAATTTCTGTTATTGTTTTTCAGGGGATGATAAACTGGCTTTGTATGAAAAGACTTTTTTATCCAGAATGAAATTTACTTTATTGTGCGAGGCAGAAGGTGGACTAAGATCGGTTGCATGGACTGGACATTTTGTAGCTTGGGCATCCGACACAGGTGTTAGGGTTTATGATCTCAATGCAAGATGTTCATTAGGTCTAATGAAATGGACCAGGTCGGCAGAGTAAGTAAAAGACCAGAATTCAAAGAGTTAACAAAACAGAATGAGTAACTCTTTCCTTAATGAAAGCAATTTTGTTCCTATACAGTGCGGTACCAGAACACTATAGATGTAATTTGAGGTGGTCAGACAGTAGAACATTATTAATTGGGTGGGTTGACATAGTTAGAATTTGTCAAATTAGGAAAAGATCTTTACAGGAAATGGTTAACAGAAATCTACCAGAATATGGAGTGGATTCAGGTACCTATATCATGTAATCAAATGATGATTAGTTAATATGTTAAAGGATTATAAGAATGCAACAAATAATAGGCTTTTAAATTCCAGTTGCTACATTCCAAGTGGATTTTTACATTTCTGGTATTGCACCATTAGAGAATCAACTAGTATTACTGGGATGTCTGAAAGAATTAGATGAAAATGGAAAGAGTCAGAGACCAACGTTACACGTTGTTGAACCAAAGTGTCAAGATTTCTCTATTGTCTGTGCAAATTCTCTCACACTTCGTGGTTATAAGGAGTACAGTTGTAATGATTATCATTTAGACTGTTTAAAGGAAGAAAATAGGTACAATTGGTAAAAATAAAATAATTTCTTTATACACCATAGGTATCTTCTGATTTTTCTTTCCTCCTGATTAGGTTTTTTATTGTGAGCCCAAAGGACATTGTTGTAGCTAGCTTGTACGATGCGGATGACAGAATCGAATGGTTATTGAGTCACGGAAAATTCGAACAAGCATTAGAAGCAGTAACAATAAATAATGGCAAAAATTGTAAAAGGCACACTTTAGTTAATATTGGTCGTGTATATTTAGACCACTTATTAGCATGTGGGAAGTACGACGAGGCAGGAAAACTTTGCTTGAAGGTTCTAGGAAGGGATAAAAAATTATGGGAGGAAGAAGTTAATATCATTAATTAAATTGATGTCTATCATTTTAATTTCAGTTTCACTAATATTATATATCGTTGCAGGTATATAAATTTGCGAGGGTTCATCAACTGAGATCCATTTCTTCCTACCTTCCAAGAGGTGTAGTAACATTAGATCCATCGATCTACGAAATGGTTCTGTATGAATATTTAAAAATGGATCCTAAGGGTTTCCTTCAGTTAGTCAAGGAGTGGTCCCCAACGTTGTATAACGTTGCGGCTGTTCTGAACGGTGTTCTAGAGCACCGTCTGGTTAACAGTCAACAAAACGTACTTTTAGAAGCTTTAGCCATTTTATACATTCATGACGAGAAGTACGATAAAGCGTTAGCCGTGTACTTGCAATTGAGGCACAAAGATGTGTTTAAACTTATAAAAAAGTACCAGTTATACCATACCGTTTGTGATATGATAGAAGGCTTGATGGATTTGGATGCAGAACAAGCGATAAAATTATTTTTGGATAAAGTGCCATCAGAAATTGTTGTACATGGATTGCAACATAATCAACGATATTTATACTTGGTAAGATATAGAGAGTAAATTGTTTATTTTATGTTGATTAACAGTCGCAATATTACATATATTGGTTCAACCAGTACTTAGATGAGCTGGATAAGAAAGATACAAAAGATTCAAAGGGCAAATACCATGGATTACTAGTTCGACTCTATGCAGATTATTGTCGAGATAAATTGTTGCCACTTTTACGACGATCCAATAGTTACCCAATACAACAGGCATTCGATATTTGTAGCCAGCGACAATTTTATTCAGAAATGGTATATTTGCTTGGTAGAATTGGAAACACATCCGAAGCATTGGCGCTTATGACAGGGAAATTAAATGATATGGAGAGTGCAATTGCATTTTGTCAAGAACGAAATGATGAGGAATTGTGGAATGATTTGATTAAGTATTCTCTGGACAAACCTCGTGAGTAATAGTATCTTGTTAATAGTGATACCCTTGTATTAAATATCTGAACAAAGTTGTTTTATTCCAGAAGCAATAACGTTCCTTCTTCAGAAAATAGGCACATATGTAGATCCTAGTCTAATGGTACTAAAAATAAAACCGTCTTTAGAAATTCCTGGTTTAAAGAAAGCTTTAGTCAAAATGATGTGTGATTATAATCTTCAAGTGTCCGTGCAAGAAGGTTGCAAAAAGATTTTATCTAATGATTATTTTAATTTACACGAAAGGCTGGTTAAATGCCATCAGAAAGGAATATTTATTGATGGTTAGTACCTTTAAGAAACAGTTATAGTGATTGTATTTGTGTTAATAAATATTATATTGTTCTGTATCAGATGATCAAATGTGCGTATATTGCAACAGGAAAATAATTGTAAGAGGTATCTATTAAAATAACAACCCCATATTATTCTAATTTTATTTTTATTACATTCTTATAATTATTATTTGTTGCAGACCCAAGGAACTTAGTTATATTCTATTGCAAACATTCGTTTCACCAAGATTGTTTACGGAAATCCGAACTAGTGGTGTGTATCTTAATAACTACTTAGAAAAGACACTTTGTAAATTTTATTCGCTACAATTTTATTTTTTAGGAAAATTGTGTCATATGCAACTCACAGAAGGATACATCTCCTGGCAGAAAATGATATAGGTAAGATTTACGATTAAATTTCTAATATGTATTTCATTTCTTCAATCTTCGTATTATTTGATCAATAGTGAAACATTTTGGACATAAATTAATTACCTTAAGGCATCCAGGACATTTTGATATGGGCTAGAAATCAAACAATTGTGTAATTATTTGAAAGTATAACATGCGCTTTCAATAGAAACATTTACTTGATATTTGTCACAAGTTCTCATAATTGTGTGACATTTATTGCAAGCAATTTTAGAATGTGAATCTTTCTCGTGTATACTAGATTCTTTTTCTAAACTTGTGCTCTTTGTAGATGATTTGGAAGTAGATACATCATACGAATGAACAGATTGCATTGAATCACAGAGACTCTGAAATTTGTTTCTTTAATTACGAATTCCTTTTGATCTTTAAAAAGTACTTACTGCAATATCAGAATATTCCGCTTCAGCAGATCTTGAAGAGCTTGCCTTTGACGTGCTACTGTCCATGGAGAATCCACAAATATCGCATACAAGTTCAGGTTTTTCTTTTTTCAGCTGCGATAGTATATCAATGTCATAATTCTCGTTCTCCGTACTGGTCTCCCAGGTGATTGGATTTTTGGCAAATGCTTTGAAATGTTGTATCGTGAAATCTATTACATTCTCAGGTTTTACTGTGGAGACCAGTAAAAATTTATACTGATTTTAAAATAAAATATTCTATAACTAAGTTATATGACCTGTGTAAGGATAGTCGGTATAATGTTTATCCAGTTGTAATTACCAACTAGCAATGTTTGAGTGTAATCACTAATCAGTTGTTTCACTTGTGGATGATCAGCTAAGTATTCGGTATATTCAGCTATTTTAGAAAACTATAAATACAATGAAAATACATTTTCTTCGATTTCCATATAATACTGCATAATTATATTGTTATTTACTTTCTTATCTAAATATTTAGACAACATTTCGATATCTTTTGACCAATTATCCCTCAATGGCGCTTCCAGTCTTAGTGTGTTACTCGCGATGTTTGGATCAGCCAGTGGATTAATTTTAGCAATATAAGGCGAATCCAACCAATTGTATCTCAGTATTCTGCCTTTTGAAGTTAAATGAATTCTCGCAGTATCTACAGATCCCTTCGGCATGTGTAGTTTACATTCAATTGTGTAGACATTTAAAAAGTGTCCATCTATTTCCATACGTTCAGCCGAAGTACATTCCTATTAAGAAAAATGATTTTATTTCAATTCAATTGATGTAAATTTATATTTTTCATACATAAATAACTGTAGTCAGTTCTCCATCGATGTTAATAGTCTCAAAACGTAATGTCCCTTCGTAATTTATCTGCGCCAAATATCGTACAAGTAGTATATCCACGCCGTCGCTGATTAATCGATCGTTAGAACTATAACTTAAATTTGTGGTTTTTTCAAATTCATCACATGGACAAATATGTGTTAATTTCACATGGTAGAAATTGCCTTCGAGACCCATATAAATTGATCTTTCATGCAGACCATTGTCTTTGTACACGAATCTGAAATATTTCGAAATACTAGTAAGAATAGAAGTTTTTACTGCTTCGGAATTGAACATCTCTTTATTGAGTTTGCTATTGAATTAATGAAACTTAAATTTAAAATTATAATCAAGTTCGTATTGTTCAGCTAAGAGTACTAACACCGTTCTCTTTTCTTCTAGACAGTGCAGTTTAGACGTTGCCGAAGTGATAACTTTCGTCCCCCAGAAGTGACCGTCGTGAGACATCGAATTTTGCATGTGTATTAAAAACTCAAGGGCCTGGGGCCCCATGGATTCAATTAGAATGCAACAACCGCCTATTGGCTTCGTGTTCTTTGCAGACTCATTTTTTAAACACATTATCAAAGTCTCGCGAAAGCACAGGGCTTTGTGTTTGGCGTTATCTGAAGTACAAAAGAAAGCAAGAGTCTGTGAGATACTTCGGTAAAGTGTGCTGGATAACAGCGAAAAAAAAGACATAACACACAGGCCATAGACGCTCTACATTCCATAGACATCTGGTTTCACCAACGACGAATAAACTTACCAATATCTATATTATATATTTTTGCATATCAGATTTTATTACGCACTGTTTTCGTAGATGTTCGTATATTTTTTTTATCGCGTACCTTTATGCGTTGTTGGAGAAATTACAATTCGAACAAATTATCTGAATGGGACGTCAGGACGATATCGTTTTATTCCAGATCTTTTCAAAGGTTTTATCATCACTGTATGATTGTTACACTCGAAAACGATCGAGGCCCTGATTCGCTGTATATACTTAATACATAAATCGAGGCGTTAAAACGAAATTATTCTACAGTAAAATACAGCAAAAGACTGGATGGTTCATGCATCAATATGTGAAATAACCAGTCCGTGGAATCACTACTTTGTACAGCAGGTGCCATTATTGTATAAAATGATCCTAGTACGTTCTGTAGTGCTTAAGTAATTTGACCAGTACACAGTCCTCGCGTGCATAATGTCACAGATAATTTTTCACGCCGCTTTAAGCTGTACGTCGATTAGTTCTTTAAGCTTATTCACGGCGATTTTTTACAAGTAAAGAAGCCCGTTTCGTCTATGTAAATGAAATTTATTTTGTTCCTTATAACAACAACAAGGTTTTTACTTGCCGATTAGAAATTCAGGAATCCATTTTTGAATGTCAAATAGATCACAGGGGATTTCTTTCTGGTCGGACGACATTTCAATTCTTCTAGCCGTCAAACATTTGAAAGTAAAACAATAACAAGCAGAAGTTAGTAATTATAGTCCGATTTGAAAATAGTTTCTTTTCAAGACTGAAGCCAAATCTCATAAATGCATGTTTGGTAGAAGACTTGCAAAATGAATTATAAGAAAATATTACGAAGGCCATTAGATGTTCATGCTTGCGAACTACCAAAAACGTCGCAAAGTAATTTACCAAAATTACCACCAAGTGCAAAATTTCATGCCCGGTGGAAACGAAATTTTCAGAAACATATTCTAGTTTCCGTGAGCCATCCACTAACGCGAAACATGCTACGTAGTAACGCTGCTATCGCTTTTGAAAAACGAAGACATGGCCGTTCAGGATTCTGGTGGGTAATACATCCCTGCAGTGATTTAAGGTAACATTTATTTACTTATTCGGTCCGTTTTTTGAAATCTTCCGCGAAGCTTATAAATGAAATTGATATGAGCATTTCTTCACATAGGTTTTGCTGGGACATCTTAATGACGTTCACTTTTCTGTACATGTTGATAACTGTACCATATATTCTGGCATTTCATAGAGTAGCAAAAAGTTCTGATTCAGACAGTTGGAGTCTAGTGTATCCTGTGTTCATAATATGTATATTTGATATTGCTTTAAATTTTATCACTGGAGTCTGTTCACCCGATGGCCATGAAATCTTTTTAGATCCAGTTCTAATAGCATGGTAATCGAATTTTTATATTTTTCTTTTTAAACATATTAATAGTTTATATTATTGTTTAACACATTCATTTTTATAGGCACTACATAAAAAGCCATTTCTTATTTGACCTGTTATCTTCGATTCCATACGTATGGTTTCATAAATACACTATCTTACCTCCAGGGCCTAACTCAAACTCTGTCTTCTTAATTCCTGAATTCTTACCACTACTGAAGGTCGCACGCTTACGTACATTGCGTTTCTATGTAAAGCAAATAGCTACAGTAAGGATTACCAGTGAGAGAAATTTCAAGCGATGACAATTTCTCGATGAAATATCATTTAATTTTAGACTTTTGTAGAGTTTTGCAATTTCACACGCTACAGAGAAAACAATTTGGTTGATAGTATTGATATTAATATTATTTCACTGGTGTTGCTGCGTGACTCATCTTGGTCCAATTATTATTGCGCATATAGATGGACAAACCATGGAGGTAGATTTTTTTGAGTTTACTTAAGAACTGATAATAGTATTGGTCATAATGCTATTCTATTCATTTTAGGAGGCTGAACTCTATTATATTACCACAGGGCTGTACCAAAAATCCAACTCAAATATTTATTTAATGTGCTTTCATATGGGCCTGAGTAACTTCTTTGCATCAAGTTTCATTGAACTTTATACCCTAAGTAAAAATGATACAGCGGTACGTTGCACGATTTTATTGCTAGGAAAGGGATGTTTACTGTATGTTATAGGTATTTCTTCTTTAGTCAAATTAATTAAAATACTCGTCAAAAGAAATATCTTTCAACTTACGTATTATGATAGTAATGGTTCTGCAATTGGCGAAGTCAGGCGCGGAACCAGAACTGAAATATCAGCGAATTATGTATAGGGTGAACGAATATATTCGCGAAAAAAAACTTCCAGATCGACTAAAAAATAAACTCCTTGCATATTATGAATACCGTTTTCAAGGAAGTTTTTTCAAAGAGAAAGCCATATCCAGCACCATATCAAGTTAATACTTTATATAAAAAATCATGTGACTATTACTTTAAGATACAGTTTTCAGAATTATTATTCTCATATTTAGATCATTTGTACCAAGAAATCATGATTCACAGTAGTCGTGGACTATTAGATACAGCGACGCTCCTTCATTATTTACCACGTAATGTTATCGGAAATTTAATGGGTGAGATGCAAGAAAAATCAACTAAATATTATAACAAATTTATATAGAAAATATAAGGGAAATAGTTTCTTATTATAACATAAACGGTTTAGGGATTTTAAAACCAGTTATTTATTTGAAAGAAGATATTATTTATCAAAGCGAATCTGAAGGCGACTATATGTTCTTTATAATCAGTGGTACCGTTACTCTAATTACTTTTCATGGAAAAGAAGTATGTATAGTTAATGTAAATATTCTCCTTCTCCAAGAAACGTGAAAAAATATAATTGCAATCCTTTTTGTAAGATATGCCATGAAAAAGATGGAGGCCATTTCGGAGAAGGTGCTTTAATTTTTCCTGATCGAAGGAGATTGGAGACCGTAATGGCGCTTGAAGTCTGCGAGTTGCTGCGTTTAAATCGACGCGATTTCAAACGAATGTTTTCCTCGACATCGACTTTTTATAAGAGACTCGAAAAAATTGCAAAGGAGAGGCAGGAGAGAATGTTACTTTTGAGTAACAGCCGCCAAACATATTTGAGTAATGTCGCCCAGACAGCGAATACTATGGAAAATAATCAGAAGAACGAACATGCTGAAACTCCGATGAATGACATTACCAAAACAGAAAATGAAAATAAAACGAATTAAAGGTTAATCTGGAAAGAATTTTTTGGTAATTCTTTATATGTAACATTCTTTAAGAAACTGCAGAATACAAAAAGAAAAAATGTCACGGTTGAAGGATTCATTACGAATTCCATTCCATCTGTAATCTGTATTGGTCATTTATATAGTTCCACGTATTTATTCGCATGCGTGTACTCCGGCAGCTCTTTCCGGTTTCGCGAGTTGCGAAATTTTGGAACTTGAATCGAAGTTACGCAGTGTAATTAATTTTATTATAATATCTAATATTTAAGTGTTCCACTTTCGGTAATTGGTATATATTTTTTACAATTCTAAATTTAAGCCAGTTTAGTTTGAACACATGCCATACGCTTAGCTCAGTACAGGTTTAGATTACTATTATGTGTTTGAATTATTTTGCGTTTATTGGAATCGTATTTCATTATTATTTTATCTACTAATAAAATATCGTGTAGTAGAGATTTTTATATTAATAAGAAATTTTCATCTACTAGAGGTTAAGTCTATTAGTTTGACAATCTTGTGACACACGTGGCTGACAGACGCGTGTCATTTTGTCGGAAGAATTAAATTTATTATTGGTCAAGTATTTTAATTGTTATTTTTTATTGAGGGTTACGAACATGGTCGAATTGAAATGGGAAGAGAAGTACGATCTCATCACCAGAAATTTGGCTGAATGGCTTGGTGATGAGAAGCTAAAAAGTATTCTAAAACAGAGAGATCTGAAGCTCTACTGGGGTACTGCAACAACTGGCAAACCTCATATTGGATACTTTACACCAATGTCCAAGATAGCAGATTTCTTAAGAGCTGGTACAGAAGTTACTATATTATTTGCTGATCTTCATGCTTATTTAGATAACATGAAAGCTCCTTGGGAGCTCTTGGAACTTCGTACTCAATATTATGAAGCTGTTATTAAAGCAATGTTAAAATCTATTGATGTACCTTTGGACAAATTAAAGTTTGTCAAAGGAACTGATTATCAGTTGTCTAAGTAAGTAATTATTAATGAATATGTTAAGTTATGTTACCTATTAAACCAAATATGTACGTAACTAGTAAAATTCTTTTTTACAAGGGAATATACATTAGATGTTTATCGATTGACCTCTGTTGTAACTGAGCATGATGCAAAAAAAGCTGGTGCAGAAGTAGTTAAACAATTAGCTAATCCATTGCTCTCTGGATTGCTGTATCCAGGACTACAAGCTTTGGATGAGCAGTACCTTAAAGTTGATGCTCAGTTTGGTGGTGTGGACCAAAGAAAGATCTTCACATTCTCAGAAAAGTATTTACCAATGCTTGGATATGAAAAGCGTATTCATTTAATGAATCCAATGAGTGTGTACATAACATAAATAAATTAAGCATTACACATATTCTTTTAAGCTGAAAAAGTAGAGTACATAAGATTGATTTTAGTTCCTGGCCTTGCTGGTTCAAAAATGTCTTCTTCTGAGGAAGATTCTAAGATTGATATTTTAGATAATGCTGCATCAATCAAGAAAAAGTTAAAAAAAGCATTTTGTGAACCTGGTAATATCACGGATAATGGAGTTCTTTCATTTGCTAAGCATGTGATATATCCCTTGCTAAAACCAGGAGAGTCTTTCCGTGTACAAAGAGCTGCTGAATTTGGTGTGTATAATTTTCATAAATTTTATCAGTTTTTTCAATTACAGGGTTTTTAGTAACTGAAATTATTTACTATAGGTGGAGATATTATGTTTGACAAGTATGAGGATTTGGAGAGTGCATTTTCCAAGGAAGAAATACATCCTGGGGATCTGAAAGGTGCAGTCGAAGTTTATATTAATAAACTTCTAGACCCAATTAGGAAACAATTTGAAGTAGATCCGAAGTTCAAAACTTTGGCCAGTAAAGCATATCCTCCTCCACAAAAACAAAGTAATATTTGATATATAAAATGAACATTTTAAATAATGTATGAATTCGAATAATAATGCGAGGTCTGCATTGAATATGTAGAAGCTGTGGAAGAATTAACACCAGCCCGATTGGACATCAGGGTTGGAAAAATAGTTGAAGTATCGAAGCATCCTGATGCTGATTCGCTTTATGTAGAAAAAATAGATGTAGGAGATGCCAATGGGCCTCGCACAATTGTTAGCGGACTTGTAAATTATGTACCATTGGAAGAGATGAAAGACAGAATGGTAGTTATCCTAGCAAATTTGAAACCAGCTAGTCTCAGGGGTATTCAGTCTCATGGAATGGTTTTATGCGCCTCAGTGTATGTTCCTCTTCCATTAACATATTTCTTTGTGCAACATCTTACAACTTCATTCATGAACTTTCAATACAAACAGAGATGAACCTACAAAACGAGTTGAACCACTGAGACCTCCAGTAGATAGTAAACCAGGTGAAAGAGTTACCATAGAAGGATACGAAGATGGAACACCGGATGATGTACTTAATCCAAAGAAGAAAGTGTGGGAAAAATTACAAGTATATTTATTTCTTTTTATATTACTCTGCCAGGACTTACGGGCCCGTGATTTATTGAAATCTAATTCTTGCAGGTTGATCTTGTAGTAAATGGTAGCGGAGAAGCGTCTTGGAGCGGAAATCTCCTGTTCACTGCCAACGGTGGTAAAATTACAGTCGACAGTCTTAAAAACGTAGCAATTAAATAATCTGTTGCCAGATACTTAGGTGATCTATCGAACAAATGTGCTTGATAATTAAAATTGTCGATTTTATTTAACTATTAGCATCACGTTTTTGTATTTTTCATATTATGTGAGTATATATTCACACAAATAGATAGGTGCGTCATTGCAAGGCATTTTATATATTTATTAGTACTTATATCGTAATATCTTCTATCCTGTCGTTGCTGTACTAACATAATACATTATACCTACATGCAGTGAATTTTTCCACTAATATGGTTCTAGTTGTAATCCCAAATTAAATTGGATTTGGGTTTAAATTTGTTCCAGTGACTGTAGATGAAATATTTGGTATTGTACCTCTCTCATTATAGTTCACTCTTATACAAGGAGACCGCGGTCTTAAACAATGGAAGCGGTCCGATTGCAACTGCGAAACACTGCACGGTTTCGACTCCTGCTCCCTTTTCTTGCGGATGAGCCAGGATGTAGCAGGACACAATGCGAGTTCTTTCCTCAATGAACTACTACTGCAGCCGTACAATAAAGGATTTATCACTGCGTTGACCAGCACCAGGTATCTACTCACGTACCTGCCATACGAATTATATTATTTTATATTTATATTTTGCGTTGTCGTCACTGGTCTTTCGAATAGACCAGTTTTTAATAGAAATATTCACCACAGCGGATACATGGATTCTGCTTGTCCCGGTTTAGGAGTTGCTTGCAGCAATTGAGCCCTTCTGATTATCAGCGCAGTAAACGGCACGCGACATATTATAAATGCCAACACTATAAGTGCCAATACTTGCGCTACTCTTCCTTTATACTTCACAACTATAGGATATTTACTTCTCAATGCTTGTGATTCGTAGCGATCTAACTGTAAGAAGTGATAGAAAATTGTAGTATTATAATTTCATGTTAGACACAAGAAAGTTGATGGTAATACTTTGATAAGAATAGCCGAATAACATATTGCCATGATACCCAATGGCGCCCAAACACTTAAGCCTGCAAAGATATGCCAGTATGGGTAAACCAACGCTGTGTCTTCAGTGCAATAAGTTTCTAAATAATTCTTCCATTGTCTTTCATAATAACGTCGGAAGTATATCAAAGGAATCGCAACAGCTATCCCCGCAATCCAAGTAGCAACGAGCAGTACATGAGTCATTCTTCAACATAAAAGTGTAGCGAGATATGTATTCGTATTATCTGTAAATCTTTTACATTATTAATATTTTTTTTTAGTACTTTCTCGTTAGCTTTCCCGAACAATTAAAGACAATGGCAGACACTCGATCATAGCTGATTGCACTTAAATTGAAAACAGCTACCAATGTCAGAGCATGCACCAATGATCCATCCAGTCGGCAGCCAACTGCTCCCAAAATGTAGTTCTGGAATAGATCGATGCAGAGGAACATCCATGGGCATATTAAACAAGTTCCCAAGTCCGCGATACACATATTCACGATCAGAAGATTTGTGGTAGTCCGCAGAGATTTCTCTTTGACCACCACGTAAATCAGACCACTGTTAGCTAAAGACCCAATAACGACGATTGGTAAAACACTTAGAATCTTTAGTACCACTTCCCATGTAGGTCTAATTTCCCAAATTTCCGAAGGAAATGGATGCTTACTAGTGTCGATGTCTTCCCACTGAGAACCCACAAACTTGTCAGTTATTTCATAAAAATTAAAGGCACAGTATGTAATTGGTTTAATGAAGAATCATACTTCTGAATTACTAGTGGTGATCTCATTTTTGTTTTCGACGTGACAATTCCATTGCACGTCCAAGATGATACTTCTGTTCAGCAGTTCCAAAAGCTCCATATTATTTAAGATTGTTTTGCTGCATGAACATGGCAGAAATTCCGATGAAGTACTGAGGGCTTAATAGTATTTGGAAGAACTTAATCTGAACGCAGCAGATGGCCCATTAGCATTAGGAGCATGTCTGTTTGCACAACTCTTTAGATATAGTAGTGGGTATAAAAAGTATTTGCACACTCAGTTCTCTTCTAATAAACATATTTTACAAAAAGAAAACATGAGAATATTATATTTGAAAGTTTATTGGATTAGAGAATTCGGGCAATGACAATATCTAATTCTAATTTCAGTTGAGTGAGTGAGTAAACACTTTTGGTATATACCCACTGTATCAAAGAAGCATTTAAAATGCCATCTGTTGCAATGATGGATTATTTATTATAATAGTATTTCAGGTTTTAATTATATTTTTATTTGGTTGTAGGCCTGTGCACATGTGCACACGCGTGTTTTATACAGCATTCATACAATAATGTGCAGTGAAATTTTTAGCATAGTTGAATTAATTTATCGTTTATATACAAGTATATAAATTTGGCACGATCAAATAAAAATAAAAATGCTCGATAGCTGCATTATTCTTATATGATATATATTTCACACGAGATTTTTCCTATTTATTTGTACTTGGTAGATTACTTTCTAGTCAGTCATACCCAGAACTATCCGGATGAACGTCGTTCTTACAATTTTTACACAATAGAATATAATACATTCTGTTTTGTTTTAATGTATGAAAAATATGTAAAAATTATGTTCTCAGGATAGCGGAATTTAAGTTACGTGCGTAAATAGTTCTGTGTCGCTTTCAGTGGTAACAAATATTGCCTCTCTTACTAATTCGAATCGTGAATTCTTTACAAAACAATTTACATGAATATATCTGCATTTTTACAGCATTATAAATTCTAAACGCTAATGGAACTTAAATTAATAATAAAATTAATCTTTGATTCTCATTACTCTGTTCAGAGTTCAGAATAATAGTTTGTAACTTCTTTTTATTATGCATTTTCTTTACATTAACATCGAATAACTAAAACTTAAGAATCGACGGAAACGAAGAAACACCTGAAATTATTAGGAAATCACATTGCAACGAACAACGGAACTCAACACGTTAAAATAGATCACAAATTAAATAATATAGTTTCATTTTACTCCAAATATATTAAAGAGGCACAATAAAAACTATAGTTTCTCATAATACAATCGCTATTCGTATTTAACATTTCTCTATTCATACAGTACCAAATCAGGACGTACAAATTCGTAATACGTTATTTACAAACCAGTATTATTTCATCCCTAGTCACAGCAGTTTGTATTAGAATGTTCGTCTTTAAGAAACTCGAAAGTTTCGTGGCTAATCCAATTGCGTGAACAGAAATTCGGCCGACATAGTCTCTCAAATCTACGTAAAAATAGGAAATCATTCGTTAATTAGTTTTATCGGTATATTGGACAATATTAAACTACAATTTGTAACAAATATTTGACTAGCTTTTATAGTCTTATTCCGTGTCCTCTGCTTCCGACGATTGCGCGACTGGCAAGGGAGAGGGAATGACCAATTCATCGTCCTCCACTTCCTCCTCAGCTAACAAGAAATCTTCCCCTTCGTGGACTTCCTCTTCCCTTGCTGGTTCCGGCGGAGCTAATACATCTTGACCATGTTGTTTCAAATGGTCCTTCAATGCAAACGCTCTGCCATACGACGCACCACAAATGTAACAACTGAATTTTAAATTGTTATCCTTCTTGTGAGTCTGTATGTGAGCACGTGCTGCGTACAGCGAGGCGAACGGTCGTGAACACTCGGTGCACCGGAACGGTTTTGTATGACTGTTCTTATGGCCGGCTAATTGAACACGCGTTTTAAAAGTCTTCGGGCAATACGGACAAGTGTACGCACGTTCTTCCCCGTGAGTGAGTAAATGATGATTGTACACAGAAGAGGCTTTGAATCTCTTCCCACAGTGTTGACATCCATACGGTCTGACCCCGGTATGAGTCCTCATGTGCAAGGTCAAACAGTAGGAGACACGAAATGTTTTACCACAGACCTGTTCAAAGATATAAATAAATTGGACCATTATCTAGATGCAATGATCTTACGAGGGAAATATACAACCAAGATGAACATTTCAAATAAATCTTGGCGCAACAATATACATACATTTAACAGTGAATATTCTAAAACTGATTCATGTTCACTTTCATCTACATTTTGCGTCAAGCATTCATTCGAAAGAAATGGTCGTCGATCCTTAATCCTGTTATACTCACCTCGCAAGCATGTGGCTTTTCTCCAGTGTGAATTCGTTCGTGTTTTACTTTCTCGTGAGGTCTTGTAAATCTACGACCACAGTGTTGGCACTGATAGGGTTTTTGAGTCTCCGTGGGTTCAGTGGTTGTGGTATCTGTTATAGGTGGTGTTGGCGAGTGAGATTGACTAAGCTCCGTATGCACCGCGGCATGCATTGCTAAGCTATCAGCAGAATCGAACTTCCGGTTGCAAACTGTACATGTTACCGAGTCACCGGAATGTAGCGCCATGTGCGCTTCTTTGTACGATTCTGCTAACGTTTTACCTGTAATTAATTGTATATGTTGAGTATTGACGCTAATTAACATTCCTATTAAATAAAAAATGATAATTACCACATTCGGGACACGTAAACGTGGCGTTAGGTGTTCCCTCAGGTGCATCCACGTGTCGCGCTCTGACTGGCGCGTGCATTCGAGAATGAAGGCGCAAGCTTTTGTGCGAACAGAATTCCGTGCCGCATGTTTCGCATACGAATGTTTTTTGATTCGGATCTGGTTCACCTTCGTGCACCTTTGCGTGCAGTTGTAACGCTTTCGGTGTTGCGAACGTTTGATCACAACTGTCGCAACGATTATTGCCGTGAAGACACGCGTGTACCCGAAAGTTTCCTAATTTGGAAAATTGTTGAAGGCACTGGTTACATCTATACATTCTCATTGGCGCAGCTGCCAATCTCTTCTCACGTACCTGCGATTAATGTATTCAATATTACTTCCGTAGGTGACATATTAAATAATTTATGCGAATAATAATAAGCAGACATTTGTCATACTTTGACTCCTTCCACATTGGAAAAAAACTTCTCTATCATTGGTGCCTTGGTGGATTGTAAAGGCGTTTGAACCGGTGTTCTATCCCAAAACCTTTCTATTTGTACTACTTTTCTTGTATACAATCTTCCTTCGCTGTCTACACACTCTTCCGTACGAAGAGTGTTCATGCTTTGTCTTTGTCGCGTGTTAACTACACTTCCGGACTCTGGTGGTAAGGTATTTGTTGCAGGTACAGAAGGTAAATCATCCAATTGATCAGCTATTTCAAGTAATACTTCTTGCCCATCGTGATACTGTTTTATGTGCTCGACAACAGAATTAAAACTCATATCACAACTAGTGCAACTATAAACAGCTTCTGGTTCTATCTGTAGAAATAAGATATGCACTTAGTTCATCAGTTTCATTTATATTTAGAACAGAATATTGGCTCTTGTTTCTACCTCACAGAGTTCTTCCTTTACATGCAACAATCTATCTTCGTCTAATTCAGCCACATCATTTATATCGTCCATGTTTATCAGAGCACCGGTATCTCCATCAAGGAGTTCCGAACCATCGGGTAAAATAGTAATTACATTCTTATTTCTGTTCTTATCATCTGTCTCAGTGGCTGCAATGGCTACAAGCTGATCCTGGGTCAAAGACTTCTCTTCTTCTTTGATAGCATTGCTAGGAACTTTCTCTGTCATCTTAAATTCCAAAGAGTTTTGCTCCATTTGTGCCTCTTCTGTTTCCATCTTTTCTATGACTTTAATCTCTCCTGATATGTGTTAGAAATAATAGTCAGATAAACAGAATTAACAAATATTAAATTAAGAGTTCTACCCACCGTTCTCATCGACTTGTATTGTTTGAGATCCCCCCACTATCATAATTCCACTGTCATTTACAGTTGCTAGGAAACTCTGGTCTATGCCTTCGACATTGGTGTCCTAAAATTATAATTATCAGGAAATAGTCAAAGTATTTATAGAAATCTTGATCTGAGTCAAACCATTAGCACTGTATCTGCTTCGGATTGTTGCGAATCTTCCGGCATAGGCTCTTGTTCAGTTTCAGTTGGTTCCTCTGAATCAACAGTTTGTCCACACCGATCCAGATGTTGAATGAGTGCCATTACAGAGTCAGAACGCTGCGAACAACCAGGACAGTATAGGTTGTCCGTCATGCTTAATAAATGGTACTTTAATGACTGTGGATTGTTAAACGTTTCCCCACAGCACATTGGGCAAACGAGGTTCAACGATCCCATATCTTTTTCGTTTCGTACGCTGACCTCGTGGGAGGGCTTCGTTTACCCTAACCTGACCCTCTACCAATATATTAATTTAAATTGATCTTTTTACGTTCGCCTACCCCAGCCTTAATGAAAAAACGGAGCCGGCTTCCTTCCGATGGGAACCTAACCTGACGTCGAATCAGAAAAATCAGTAAAATCGCGTGTACGTGTTCGGATGCCGAACAATGTCATGTTGTCGCTTCCAAGGACTTGATTCTCCCGTGCAAGATCTACTTATTTCAAATGAATTGTATCGCACAAATGTAAACTGCACCTCGTCTCCGTAATAACTGCAATAACAAAACTCATTAGAGACGAACTTCAGCGCAAACAAATGCCGCACACAACAATCATGAAGTTAGGGTAATGATAAGTGAATCGCGAAGTCGGCCATTCCATGCGAACTCGGTATAGAACTGCGAAGTCAATTTCAAGTTACGTCGTATAAACGTAATAATCATTTTATTGCAACGTGAATAATAAAAATTACATTTAACATTATTATTTAAAAATATTGTAGTATTCATACCGTATTAAGACTACTGAATTTGTTAGTAGTAAGTAAAAGGGGTTTTAATTAGGTGCTTATTTGACAAGAGACGCGCGATGCTTCCGGGTTCCGTTTAAATGAATTTCGTAATTGCGAAACTTCCCGTGACAAGCTAGAAATATGTCATGAATAAAATGGTTTAGTAACAACTTTCATTAGATAATCATATTGCCATGATATTTCTATTATAGATAGAAAATAATTGGTATTTTAAGACAGAGCAATTGTATTTAGATTGCACCACTACAATAACTCTTAGTAGTCAGAGGTTATTTCGCAGCGGGCAACTACAGTCGTTTTTAGTTGCGGAAGGATTAATTCAATGTTTACTACGTAAGATAAAAAAAGATGGCACTTATAGTTACAGATAGAAAAATGAATGAACCAGTTTTCCAAACATTTACATCTTTTATTGATTAGAACATAGTTACATTATCCTAATTAACAATTACCGCAAATATTATCACACAACTTAATAATCTTTTAATACCGTGAGTTTGTATTTCGTATCATACTTTGTACATGGAGTAACAAATATTCTCTTTTTAATATTTTAGTCGGCATGTTCATGTTGTGCATTACTCTCACGCCATGTATTCTGAACTAATTCAACAAACTGTTGCCACCATCGACTTTGCAATGTAAAATAAAGAGCACAGGCGGCAATGAAAACCCACGAAAGGACTAGACAGTAATCGGTTTCGTTCGAAGGAGTACTGGAAACTGGACCAATAAAGTCCCGCGATGTAAGATACAGTAATTCATTTGGTTGTAAATTAGTTATGTCCGTTATAAATTTTGCGAAGAACTCAAGCGTGTAATAGGTGCCATTATATTTTGCCACTGGTTTTCCATTATGAATCAACATCAGTGTGGGTACACCAACAATTCCATACTGAGCATTGAAACTGTAACAACATAAAATGCATTAATTCTATCTAATTTGTTTCAATATATTGTTTGTAAGTGTGCAATATTTTTCTATATATTGCATTGTTTCTAGGACTAGCAGTTTATTGAAAGACATTGTAGTATAATATTACACTTGGTATCTTATAGCATTAATTGCCACTGCTTTGATATGTGGAAAGTAACGTGGCAATGCATTAAAAGGTGGCGCAGCCTGGCTACTAAATATGCACCATCTTGCATAGAATAATACTATTGCACATGTTCCTGGTATCTGTCTGCTTTCTTCATCATTTCTGCTTCTGTTTGTTGGTCCAGATTCTAAGATTAATAATTTCATCAACGCAGTTGCATTGACAATCTGTAATAATTATCAAATCATCATTTTTGTAAACTTTATGTATAAGATGTTATACAATTTTAGAATCTTACTTCTACCGGTCGATAGATTTTATCTGTTAAACAATTGACTTTGGTCACATTAGAAGAAGAATCGTTTAATGTTACATTTGTTTCAATGATGGTTATATTTGTGTCTCCATTTTTTACTTCCACAGGTTCAGGTTTAGATTCTTGATCTGGACTTTTGAGAGGAAATGTTCCTATGACCTCTCCTTCTTCCAATTGTCCAAGAACACTTATCATTTGAACTAAATAAACAAAGAAAAATTAGAGGTCATTCCTTATTAACAGACTGTAGATGTTTATGCAAATTCAAAATGGAATGGACATTTTCTTTCATTACGTGTCTTATTGTATTAAATGTACAATAAAATGTTTCTTAATCATTTCAATTCATGCTCTATTTTTTCTGCATGTTTGAATATATTACAAATGCGTAAAATCCGCTATGTACTTATTTTCTGAACTGTAGATTTTACGTATTTCTAGCAAATACAAGCTTACGTAAAGTAGTCTAGAAATTCTTAAATCTGTATAAACATTCACAGTCCATTTATTATCGAAGCGTGATAAAAGATATTGACAGTTTACCTAAAACTATGATAAATAAACAAAAGTTCCTTTTAGAGACAAACATTTTACGAACATAACCTAAACATTACACGGAGGTCTACATAAATATGGTACAAATTAAAGGAAGTAGATGTCTTTGCATATAAGTACAGTGTTCAACGAATAATTATAGTTACGACATAAAATGTAGTACGACACTCGCGGAAAAGAAATTTCTGCATTATTTTTATTTTGATTCTCGATCATACAGCAGAGGGAACAATCGACTGTTTGAGATTATTGCGTGTATCGATTATCTCCAGTGAATCGACTTGTCTAGCAATATGCGACGTACTTGCGATCATTTTTTATCAAGAAGCAGATTAAATGTTTCGCTTTCTTTAACAGATACTATGATGTAACTAGTTGAATATTTTGGATAACGAAGTGATTATTTAAACAAGTAACCCCATATTTATCGTTTAAGTAATGCAGTATACGAATAACAGTACTTAAATGAAATTTGTTTCATGTGGTATATACGAATAACATTGTATTACATGACTACACTCTTCCAGAAACGTTACATTCACGGATAACGATATTGTTATCAATTCGTTTGTAAATTATGAAAGAGTTCATTCACGGCGGGAATTTCACGCGATGCTACGATCAAGCTTTACCGCTTTCAACCGTGTTCTACGCATCGCCGGAAGAAGAAGGAAAGGATGACTTACATAGGAGTAGGAGCCACGGCAAGCATCCAGCCACTTTCATTGTTATTCGATCTGCCTTGCATCGAAGGCACAAGCTGAGGACCCTGTGTTCTTATCTTCTTAAAAGAAACGAAGAAATTCATCCACCTGTTGTGGTCAATTAATCATACATTTGAATTTTCAGTGAGTAAATAAATTTCAATTAACACACCTCACTTTCACGGCTTGCTGTTCACGCTGTTGCTATTGATTATTATCGAAACGCTTTCTTTCTATTACATCAAGCCACATACTTCTTATATTTATATTATACATGTCTCAAGTAGACCGCGAATTTTTATGGGGTTTTTATTTTATTTTATTTAATACCTAACAGAACCTGCAATAGAGTAAACAGATTCGTCTTTGACTACAGTTCTTAAAAATCTATATTTGCAATAGGTCCCGCTGTCTACTAATTAATTTTAACGATATAAGTAACATATTAATTTATACATAGCGTAAAAGAGGAATGATAAGTCGGTATAATGTTATAGCTTAGTGGTTAGAATTTTTCCTACTAAAGTACAGGTCCTTGGATCGATTCTTGGATGATCCTCGTTTGGTTTTTCTTCTTAACTAATTAAGTAATTGAGCTTCGAATTAGTAAAATATATTATTTCTGCGAACAAACTATATATTTTCCTAACAAAGTAATTCCAATAATATTAAAGTTTTTGAAGAAGGCGGTTGGAAAGGAAAGTCACACACAGTTTCTGGTTTCCTGGGAGAAAAAATTACAAAATCCAAGCATCGTGTGAGATAGATGGGCTCTGATGGGTTAACGAAGCGCGAAAAGCGTCTGCAAACGAAATATGAATACACTGTGTTGTATTGTGGTCCCGCTTGGTGTATTAGCATACAAAAATAGTGGAACTGGCCTTATTCGCCGAGAATTCATTCATTCATTCCGTGCAAACAATGATGAGATTTCGTATCTGTTAAGCCGTAAAATGTGTGCGTGTGTTCCCTATGGTTGTGTCGTGCCCTCCTCTGGGGCGCCACTCTAAGTACACGCAGGTGTGTTTCAATATCGGTCAATTAGGAAATTGGGAAACTCCGTGATGCATCTTTGCCACTGGGAAATTGTGCATTGTTTTCCACGACTGTGTTTTAAAGTAGACGGGAGTGGAAACGAGTCGTTAGTTGGTTACAAAGGAGGCCCCCCTTTGAACAGTTTTTTTTTTTTCTAATAAAAAATAACGTGTTCACATCTTTAAGGTTCGTTTGTAAGACTTCCACATTTCAGATGATAATCAGCAGTAAATAGTGAACGGAAGAAGGAGTGGATGTGAATACTTTCAGAACTGCCTGAACGAAGTGGAAGAAAATTAGAAAATCGTATAAAATGGTTGTATTAAAAATCACTGCGAAATAATTAGAAAAATTTGGGGAATCGATGGAATCGTCGATAGGGAAATTAGTATCGTAAAATTCTCGATGAAATAAAGGGGATCTCACGATCGATACCACAAGATATTCTGTCTAGCCATCAATATTAAAATTGCTGAGAATAATCGTGGATAGGAATTGCACGGAATCGTTAGTAATCCAGAAAGGACAATAGAGAGGTAGCTCCTGTTGAACAAGCCGCCCGAATTATGCTTCCTGGTTTCACCCGATTGTCGCTGAAACAGACGGAAGGAAGACGCATTCATGCTCTGTTTCAGCGGCTCGAATTCACTGAGTTTCTACAGGATACGGTTGTTGAGATATTTTAATGACATCGCCGGCGCGTAGATGCATCCACTTTGTTTTCAACGAGTCTTCGGATTGTCATTCAATCGTACACTTTACAAACACTTTAATGGATAAACTAATTAATTTAGGCCAGTAGCCCTCATAAGACATAATGAAGATAAAAATTTGCAATTTTTTCCTTATGATGTGTATGACATTTTTTTTTCATTAACACATTTATCATTTTCACAGGTGATGTTGGCGCTCAAATTGTCCGCAACGTTGCTCTTGGTGTTCTTGTCGATCTGCTTCGCCCGTGAAAGCATTGCTAACTGGGAAGCCTGCGGTGGAAGGTTGGAACGTGCTTTGGACGCGCTCCACAGGGATTCAAGCAGGAGACACAGACTGGAGGAGGAGGAATCGGGAACGTCTTATCAGCAAGAACTACGTTCTGCACCTCTTGAGATGTCAGTCTCCCGGATTGCTGTTAAAGTAATATTTATTGCGCAACTCGCATTAAAGACTGCTAGGCCGACCCCTCGTTAAGAATGTGTATATCACTAACGGTGCAAGCGAACAGCACCAGGTTACAGAACCTAGTTCTTGGTTATTGCTGCGATAATTGTATAGAGTTTCTTTCGTTGTCAACCCCTTGCCCTACGATTGTCTTGATGTCTGCAGACTCCAGGATTACATTGTTCTCGATAGTTTCCTAGAAACGAAAGGAATTCTGTACTTATTGCAACTGTATTTTTACTGTAAAAATTGAATATTAATGCCAGCAAATACAGACTCTTCTCGATTATTGTCTGGGTTGTTCTACACGATTATTCTCCAGGCATTATCTTCACCACTGGAGGGGCGCATGGCACTTGTCAAGAGCATACTTTGTTGCCCCTTTTGTTCTCGAGGTTCGGGCAAAAAACGAATTTACGAAGGTCTGAAGCATTTCTCCCTAAAAGATTATTGTCCCAGCACAGACCCGAGTTTGAGACAATAATCGAGAGGAGCCTGTATCACAGTTCCCTTTTACAGAAATCTTCTCTTTTAACTGTTCTCTCGATTTACAGCTCCCCCAAGGCGCCAGAGACACCGTATCCCCGTGGGCAAGGGTAGACAGATGCATCTACGAGCCCGGCAACAATTCCCTGCAGACCCGAGTGATGTTTAACGACCTTTCTGTTTCGGGTATGGTGTCGTTAACGCCGCGAGATCGTCAGCCACCAATTCCAGCTGAATCCTGCAGAATGAGTCTACGATTGAGACGCGCGGGAATCGACTTCGTGACCAGCCCAATCGCGAGGGGTAGAGGGCAAATGCGAATTCGGACTGAGTCTAGCTTCCTGGAGCCGCGATTCGCCTCCATTTATGCTTACGGTTGTCAGACCAGGCGTTTAGATAAGCAGATCAAGAGGCAGGATAAATGGCCACCGTTCAATCCAACTCGGGATGAGGTGTGAACATTGGCTGTACACTTTTCGCATCTTTTTTTGTATTGAAATCGTTATTCCCTTATTGTCGAGCCAACAACTAATAGTGTAAATGTCCTGTCACAGTACACCGTGCTGCCTCCAACGCAAAATGACGACTTCGAAGTAGCGGAACCGCGTCAACTAGTAGGGGTTTCGAAAGAAGTCGATGTCGACATACCGAATGAGACTCGTCATTCCCGTTTCCTGAGCCGGCCGGTTTCAAAATTGGGCATTTGGCGGAAGAACGTTTGGCTGACCAGGCCGTTGTCTCGCGAAAGGAGATCTCTTTCGGGCTCCAATGTCCTCGAAGGTTCTTCGAGCGTTCCCCGTTTCCTGGGAACTTTCGACATTGGCCAGGAAGCCGGTGATCATCTCGAGAGGATATCTAGATCCGTAGAGACCATCACCCCGCAGGATTTCGCAACTGCATTGTCCAGCAAGAGATTGAAAACAAACGGAACCAACAATTGTACACAGCAACAGAGCAATTTAGAGAACAGTACAGAGAGTTTCTTGAGGAGCTTGAACGACAGCGAGCCAAAGAATAATTTCAAGAGAGAGAACAGCTATCAGAAAAGCGAGCACTCGAAAGAGACCAGGCAGATATATCCCGATGAGAACTTGGATAGTGTATTTCCGCATGATTTCGAAAATGATGGCAAAGGATGGCAGTCCAAAGAGCACATAGCTAGGGAAATGGAGGATGTGTTTCTTAGAGGTGCTAGCCAGGCTCTGACTAAGTTTATCGAGAGACAACTGCATCCAGCTATCAAAGAGACTCTAATGACTTCTATGGGGTATACTATTAGTTATGGATAAAGCATCGGCTGCTGTCGTTCTTCTTAGTAAATGTTAGTGGAATCTGTAATCACGCACACGAATTATAGACACTGAAAATTCGAGTGAAATCCGAGTCACGGTTCTATATTTATGTCTAGTTTTAAGAACAATAAAATTGGATACTCTATTGAAGAGGCAAGGCGGCAGACCATACATCAAAATACTGTTTCGCTTAATAATTTGTGTCCACTTGTAACAGTTTGTGTAGTTTATTTTATCTAATGAATACCATTTGTATTAGTTATTGTGGAAATCCTAGGTCATCAATGAGATTGTTACTGTGTTAATTATTTGAACTTTGTATTGCATAACTTATAATGCACTGAATTATACTAACAAGAATTTTATAAAATGCCTGTCACCTTGTAGCAGAACTTTTGTGTATCAAATCTGTTTCAATACTCTACTATCACATCTCAAACGTTATTTGCAATGCACAATTTGATCATCACAATTAAACATGTTTATAATCCTTATTGTTACTACATTACTTAATACACTGATTTGATAAGTTTTATTTGTTCGAACAACAAATAGTTTGTAGCAGTTGATATAATACAATGTACATACAGTGAATACAAGATTTTAATTAATAAAGTATCATATTTATTTGTATTTGTTACAGAATTGTTTCAGAAAGAAGATAAACAGAAACTAATTTGATGGCGATAAGGTACGTGGTTTTTGTCTAACACCTCTTCGGTTATCCTAATACGTACCAGGGGATTATGAATCCGTTTCGAAAGTAGGTGGCACGCATAATACCATCTCTGTCCTTGTCGCACAATCGATGCTCCTTCTCTTACACATTACGGGTAGTAGAAAAGGAAACACGACCTCCAAAAATTGTTAATAACTAATTAATTCTAGCCAAAATCTATTCAAAACTGTTACTTGAATACTTACAGAGGCTTCCTTTACATTCTTCAATCGCAAAAGTGCGTTAATTATGCGTGTAAACGTACTAAATAGATAATTAAACTAAGTAGTGTACGTTACTAACACGTTCGCGTGGGGCAATGATTTCATTAGTTGTTAATTACTATTTAATTACGAAACAAACCTAGCACAAACGGGTATGTGAATGTTGTTGAAGGTCTGATTTATCTTCTCCAATTGCAAATTGTCATAAATTATTAGCAGAGAATTGGTTGTTTGTAAATGTTCTAACGCTTCATTAGGTTATGGAATTGGCGGGAATTTGACTATCTCTGTCTCATACTATATAAATACTTTCCTTGTCTAACACCTCCTCGACTATTCTGTGTTCCTGATACCAGGGGTCGAAAAACAGCCGATTTTCATGGACGAAGCGGTTGGCTCAGGAATTGTCTATCCTTGTCGCACGTTCGGCGTTCGTATAGCGCCCTCTCTGTCTAATACCTCTTCCGTCATCCTGTTATCCTAATACGTACCAGGGTACCATGAATCCGTTTTCAAAGTAGGTGGCACGCATGATACTATCTGCGTCCTTGTCGCACACATCGTCGCTCCTTGTCTTACACATTACAGGCATTGGTACGAAGATAACACTTGCTGAAATTGTTAATAACTACCTGATAACAAACAATTCGAGTTCCAAATTGTTATATCAAGATTGTCCGAGGTCTAGACTAGACTTTTATACTAGATAGAACTACAAATTCTGACGTAAAAGTAGGAATATAATGTATAACACAGAAGACTGTCGAATTGCGTGACGTGACTGAGATCAACATAGCAAAAAATTGTTCATAACAAATTAATTCAACCTCAAAACTGTTCGAAAGGGGTATGGGAAATTAGCTAAAGGTTCATTCTACATTCTTTGACTGCAAAAGTATACTAAATGTGCATCTTAGATTAATAAATTAATGAATAATGTGGCCAGTATCCGCTTACATTAGGCTATCCGACAACATAACTTCAGATAATCATTAATAACTCATTAATTTGATGGCAAAGTTACCGAAAACTGTGTTGTGAATATTGCGTGGGGTCTGTTCTGTGTTCTGCAGTTGCAAATAGTTATGAATTGTTCTTAAATATTGAGATATTTGTACATTTTCTAACGCTAGTTGGGTTATGGAATTTGGCGGGAATTTACTATCTCTGTCTCACTCTATACACCATCTGTCCTTGTCTACAACTTCTTCGACCTCCTCGACTATTCTGTGTTCCTGATATCGGGAGTCGAAAACAGCCGATTTTCATGGACGAAGCTGTTGACTCAGGAATTGTCTATCCTTGTCGCACGTTCGGCGTTCGTATAGCGCCCTCTCTGTCTGATACCTCTTCCATCATCCTGTTATCCTAATACGTAGCAGGGAATCATGAATCCGTTTTCAAAGTAGGTGGCACGCACGATACTATCTGCGTCCTTGTCGCACACATCGTCGCTCCTTGTCTTACACATTACAAGCATTGGAGAGAAGATAACACTTGCTGAAATTGTTAATAACTCCTTAATAACAAACAATTCGTGTTCCAAAGTGTTACATCAAGATTGCCAGAGACCCATACTAGACTTTTATACTAGATAGAACCACGAATTGTCACGTAAAACTAGGAAAATAATGAATAATACGGGCGTCTGTCGAATTGCGTGAGTTTACCGCGATCAACGGAGTAAAAACTTGTACATAAAAAATTAATTGAAACTCAAAACTGTTGGAATGAGGTATGGGAAATTAGCTAAAGGTTCATTCTACATTCTTAGACTGCAAAAGTATACTAAATGTGCATCTTAGATTAATAAATTAATGAATAATGTGGCCAGTGTCCACTTGCACTATGCGATCCTTGAACAGCAGTTCCGATAATCATTAATAACTTATTAATTCGATGGCAAAGGTACCGAAAACTGGGTTGTGAATATTGCCTGGGGTCTGTTTTATGTTCTTCAGATGCAAATAGTTATGAATTGTTCTTAAATATTGAGATATTTGTAAACTTTCTAGCGTTAGTAGGGTTATGGAATTTGGCGGGAATTTACTATCTCTGTCTCACACTATACACCATCTGTCCTTGTCTACAACTTCAGCGACCTCCTCAGTTATTCTGTATTCCTACTACCAGGAGCCGAAAAATCGCCTGTTTCCACTGCCAAAGCTTCTGGTCAGAATATTGTCTATCCTTGTCGCACGTTCGGAGTTCGTATATCGCCCTCTCTGTCTAATACCTCTTCGGCCATTCTGTTATCCTAATACGTACCAGGGAATCATGAATCCGTTTTCAAAGTAGGTGGCACGTAGAAAATATCTCCGTCCTTGTCGCACAATTGATGCTCCTTGTCTTACACATTACGGGTATTAGCAAGGGAAACACGCCCTCCAAATATTGTTAATAACTAATTAATTCTAGCCAAAATCTATTCAAAACTGTGACTTGAATACTCACAGAGGCCTCCTTTACATTCTTCAATCACAAAAGTTTGTTAATTATGCGTGTAAAGGTACTAAATAGGTAATTAAACTAAGTAGTGTTCGTTACTAACACGTCCGCGTAGGGCAATGATTTCATTAGTTACTAATTACTATTTAATTACGACACAAACCTAGTGCAAACGGGTATGTGAATGTTCCTGAAGGTCTGATTTATCTTCTCCGATTGCAAATTGTTATAAATTATTAGCAGTGAATTGGTTGTTTGTAAATATTCTAACGCTTCATTGGGTTATAGAATTTGGCGGGAATTTGACTATCTCTGTCTTTTACTATCGATGTTCTATCCTTGTCTAATACCTCCTCGACTATTCTGTGTTCCTAATACCAGGGGTCGAAAAACAACCGATTTTCATGGACGAAGCGGTTGGTTCAGGAATTGTCTATCCTTGTCGCACGTTCGGCGTTCGTATAGCGCCCTCTCTCTCTACTACCTCTTCGGTCATCCTGTTATCCTAATACGTACCAGGGGATCATGAAACCGTTTTCAAAGTAGGTGGCACGTATTATACTATCTTTGTCCTTGTCGCACAGTCGATTCTCCTTGTCTTACACATTACAGTAATATGACAGATTATAGAACGAGCAGTAACTCTAGAAATGATTATCAATAAAATAATTACACCTTAATCCCGATCAAATGTGTTACGTAAAGTTTCCTAGTGGTTTAATTTGCATTCTCTGATTAAAAAATAACGGCAATTAACAACGAGAAGTTAATAAATTTGCAAATAATGTAGGCATTATCTAATTCTATAAATTCACTTGTGCACACTTTAAATTGAATGAGACAAGTAAACGATTGTTTATATTTTAAATGTTATTTTATTGGAAATATACATATTATTGAGTATCATTGTATAAATATTCACCTTTTTATAACATACAATACAATATATTGTAGAATTTTTGTGTTATAAGTTATATAAAAGTTAATGTCATAATACTATTCACATTGAGTACGTACACTTAAGACTACGTATACATGGCTTAGAGTTCATCTATCTTTCTACAAGTTTTAATAAAAATCAGCTTATCTTCATCACAATTAATGTCTTCATCTCGTAAGTGGAAAAAACTGTCTTCCCCTCGGTCCACATGCACCGGAATCTGCACAAAAGAATAACTATTGAAACGTCTACCATTTTTTCTAAATTTCTAAATAAAAATTTCTATGTCTATGGTTTTAACTAATATATAACTAATACCGAATAATTGTATTAATCGAAGATCTTTCATATCATTCAAACAGTCGTTATATAATATATTTTTCTTAAATAGCTCGACGACAAAGAAGTCCTATTCCAACATTATAACAAGAGACTCATCCTTTGATAGCCTATAATTGACGGTGAACGATTTATATAGAAGGGGTCGTGGGGAGTGAAGTGCTCTCGGAAATAAAACGCGCATGCCAAACAATCCCACTTGACAACCGCTGATCCACGAAACGTCAGCGTCCTATCACCGGTGACAGACACTGAAAACGAGGGTGGTTCGCTGAGGTTATCGAACTCTTTTCTCCCTCGTGTTCTTTCACTCGTTTCCCCGAAGCTCGAACGGTACGCAAAACAAGGGTAGAATCGTGCTTTTGTTTCGAGAAGTAAGTAGTCGTTTTCGACAGGAGACCCCGTGTCGCTCGAGGCGACGAAAGAACGTGGGGCTCTTTGAGGATCGATCGTTTCATTGAGCCGTTTGAAAAAAACAACGAATCCTTGTCCGAGCTTTTTTCTACAGTGAACTTCAAGCGGTACATTAAGCTCGAATTAATAAATTGAATAACAATAATGGAATGAAAGATAAATCTAGTGATATCTAAATGAATTTTGAACGTGAAAAATTTCGTTTCATTTAACAAACTGCACATTTAATCAGAATAATACACTACGCTTGAAGTTCTTATATTAATCAGCTGTTCAAGAGATTCTCTAAGCGTTCCCTAATATTTAATACAATTTAATATATTGTACGAGTCAGACACTGGGCTTCATTATTCGCTTTCTTTTCAGCTCCTCCCTGTCTGAGAGTTTCGAAGGAAAGTTTCAATCAAAAGAGCCCCGTCTCCGACTTTCACCCTCGGCGAGACGTGTCGAGAATCTTCTTTTCTTTTTAAAGCGTCGCAAGGTGAACGACCGACAGGTGAAAAGCCGTGCTTGAATGAACCGCGAGATGAATCGGGGGAAAATGACCGATGCACAGAGGTCTTCCAAGTCGACTCGGATTGGTCGACGAAAGCGTCAGAGGTCTGCCAAGCATCCGGCAGACTTCTTCAGGTACTTCAACAATGGAGAACACTCTTTTCTAACAGAGAAACGAGAACTTAACTCGATACGATTCACGCTTCGACTCTTAACATAGTGTACGATTATTCCTACACGGTATCAGGTAACAGTCCATAAATTCGTGTTCTCTGACATCGAAGGGAAATGAACAATCGTTTAGAAGAATCAATACTGTGGTTTATTAACCATATTTTAATATTTCTTAAAAACATGTACGAATTTACGGACTGACCCTATGGATATTGTTAACGCAGAACGCAGTACTATTTCACGAAGGGCCACGAGCACATGGGAGAAGCGATTGATGTTAACAAGGAGCAATCGCCTTTCGTCCACCCGCCATGTTCCCTGATGTTCTCGTACTTCCAATACTGGAAAGCCAGGAAACGTTCCGCGGCCATGGAACGAAGGAAAGGAGTTGCCAGAGACACCCATAGGAACAATCTTCTGCGTACCCTTCGTGTATGTAATCCCAAAGCAGATATTCCTGTTCTCTTCTTCTGATCTTGTATTCATCTATCATCAAACACAAACGATTAAATTCAAGAACCTTTATGTGGTATTTGTTAATGATATCAAAGGTGGACGTGAACCTGGAAGTGTTGGACGCGAAGAAACACAAAGATCTGGACGAAGCGATGGCCATCACCGATGTCGATCCAGGATTCTTCAAGGCGTTCTCCAACCGAGTGGTCAAGGAGAAATTCTCTGTGCAGGAGTACGTGGACGATCTTCGGGAGATCTTCAAGACTCGACTACTGGCTGGACAAGAAACAGACGATTGTATACGTATTGAACAGCAATTCGTGGAAGAACAGAAGAGACTGGACAAGATAAAGGTACCCGAGTTTTTCCATGATTCTATATCATGACTTGTAACATCTCATGCAGCTGACTGCTGTTCGAAGAAGTTCTTTTATAAGAAAACATTCGATCGTAGTTATTCCGACAAATTTACAAATCATTACGTAACTTCTTCATATACAATTATTCAATTTTATATATTTATATCTAATTATCAGAATGGCATTAATCTATTGCCCAGATTATAGACACTCTATTTTACACGTGTAAAATGAACTGTACAAACTAGTCTCTATGTCTGAATTCATTTACAAAGTACGCGCACCCCACTATAGGTCGTCATCTGTAACCAAAGTTCTAATCCGATCGGTGGATCGCCCTAATTACCACGAAATCCTGAGTACCCATTGGCTCACGTTAAAGTGGCGTTTCCAGAAAAAACCAGTTTATCCTGCTTCGTGTCTTCGATAGTCTAAGTCTCAGTTACTTTTTCCCACCAGGCTCGTTATAACAGATACGTCAGCGGTTTCGAGGACTTCCTATCCAAGGATCACGAAGCTAGCATGGACATCCTGGTCCGGGCGGAGAAGGAGTCAAAGTTGACACGTGAACTGACCAACACAAGGAACCAACTGTTCCGAGAGTTCGGCCAGGTCAGATTAGACGTCTATCTATGGGAGGAGAACTGGAGGACCGTGAAGATGTGCCAGAGGTTCCTGTACCAAGTGGCGCCTGTGTCCTGGCGGCAGGAACACGACTGGATCCATCGATCCGATTCCGGGGAGACAATCATCTCCGCGAGTACCGACAATTTATTCGGTCGGTACCGAATGGCCGACGAGGTTGCTTCGTTGGACACTTTGATAGGTGATCCTTTACGCCTTGTGTTTCCATTTGCTCTTTCTCTAATAGCTTGTCCGTTTCTCTAACTTTTCTGACCTGCAAATTGTCCATGAAAGTTACATTGGTCGGTTGTCTGGTTATGCAACTGATATTAGGACTATTGTTTATCAAGAATATATTCTATACTGATAGGAAAAAATGATTGGAAACGTTGAAAATTGTTCTTCATTCTGTTTTCAGTGATTTCTACAGATTGGTCGTAGAACCTGAAGACTTCTAGGAGAAGGTTACCGAATTTGGATCATTGTCTATGTTGGAAAACTATTAATAACCTGTCATGTGCAAGCAATTTGCGCCGTGTGATAGGCAATACGTGCTGCTTATACACTGTGTGGCATAATTATAAAATCACCCTAAAGTTTTCAACCCTTAACGGAAAGTGGAGATGCTTGATCGGTGATGTAATACGATTAATCTATTGGCAATATTTCCCTGCTATCCACTTTCCCCTATGCATTAGGTTAAAATAGAAACGACCCACTTTTTTCCAGGGAATATATTCTTATCTGAAGAAATATTGTATCTCAACACAATTTCAGATATGGCATACTTGGTTAGCTTTTATTATAACCAGAATACACAAAATCTGAAAATTTTAGGGTGGTTTTACAGTTAGTCCACGCAGTGTATATTCAATTAATGCAATCACTACTATCGTACACATTACATTACAAGTTCCAGTAATGGCCCAATCTAGGCGATGGTCCAAATTGGGCAACTAACCCCCTATATTGTGTTACATTGAGATTTATTAAATTTCTTTTACCCAAACATTCTGACCCAGCACTCTAAATCAGCAAAGATTACCATTTATATCGATAAGAAGCTCTTTTTTGTCGATAAAAATTCTTCTTTCACGGATGCATTGGTTCGCAGAATTGTTCGAGGAGGACATCGAGAGTGCTCGTCCGACCGAGATATACTTCGAGGATCCATCCGATTTGATCCGAGTATTCAGAGCGATCGAAACGCAGAATCTGAACGCACTGATCCACGTGGAGTCACTGGCGGAGCCGATGAGCCACATGATGATGACGATCGAGTCTGCAGAGGAGCAGATCAAGACGGAAGTCGAGGAGATCAAGAACGCTATTCACGATCTTCAAGTAATTGCCTTTCCTATTTGAAAATGAAACATAATTAGATCATTTCTAAAAAACTGATTACTATCGAATGGAAAATTAAAACCAATACCTCAGACGCTTTTTGTCTAATGGATGATCCACGGTGTAGATTTACGGTTAAAAACGGTGTCCAACTGTCCTTGAACTCAAAGTCGAGACAACCTCTAAAAAAAAGAGAAAATTAGAATTTATTGTAATCTCGATCAATTTAGGAAGTCTCGATTAGGTAGATACTTTTGGGCATATATTCACTCAGTTTTCACGAAGTTTTTTGTTCTTAAGGTTCAACCCCTTATCCGTTCCTCGTGCCAATTGGACATACAGTAAAGGCTCTATGAGAGTTGCACAGGAAGTTCCTCATTAGAGTTCTTACTTCATCCCACCAGTGGCTCGAGTTTCATGCAAAAAAAAGAAAAAGATTTGTGAGGTATTGAAACAATCCACGATGCACCTTGAAAGTTTCGAAGGAGTCTCCGAGTTTCAAACTCTCATGGAGCCTTTATTGTATTTTCCTTCCTAAGAAATTCTGTTATTCTGCAATGTGTAAGTAAATTTAGCTGAGTCTCCGTGACTTTTATTTTAAATAATTCGCAAATTGAACTACTTGTCTCTTCTATATATTAATATTTTCCTACTGTATCAATTTGACACCAATGGACCAATTAAATGAGGAAAATGAGGGAAGGATCAGGAGACAGGAAACGTGTGAAATGATAAAGCTCTGTAAATTTGAAACTCAATGGCTACTTACTAGAGATCTTCTGTCCAGATTGCCATATACAAATTGGAGTCAAGAGCCGAGGATCTGAAGAGCCACGCGAACAAGCTTCTGGGCGGAGCGTTTCGCGAAGCTGTGTGCGCTGAGGAGGTCCTAAGGTTCCAGGTGTTCATCGAGGACACGTTCGAGAGCTGCATCGGCCCGAACGACGCGAATCTGGACAGTTTCTCGATGATGAAGTGGATCGAGAAGACACACGAGGATCTGAATCTGGAGCTGGACACGCTGCGGCCAGAGGTGGTGAAGGCTTGCGAGAAGGAGGGCTTCAGGCAGGAGCTCAGAGCAATGAGGGAAACGGAGGCGGCTGCTAGAAAGGTCAGATCGCAACAAAAATAGAAAAAAGTTTATTTATTCAATATTCTTGAAACTCTGCAGGTTTGTGCAATTTTTCGTTTCTTCAGGGTGAAAGCCCTTGAAAATAGATGTGTCTTATCCTAGTTACTTTGCAAAACGACCCCTTAAAAATTGACGTTCCTATTTTACTGTATATCATGAAAACTATAATAAATATCGAAAAACTGTTTCAATGAAATTTTAATAGTTCCCTATGCTCTACAAACGTGTGTAATGAAATTGTTCAAAATTCGTTTGTTCAATTATGTATTTATTTAAAAAACGAATTTTTAATAATTCCATTAGACATTTTTATAGAGCATAAGGAGTTATTAAATCTTCATTCTAACAGTTTCTTGATATTTACTATAGTTTGTTAAAATATACAGGAAAATAGGAAGACACATTGATCTCTGCGAGGGGTGATTTCACCCTGAAGATCCGAATATCAGTAAAATCGGAAGATTGCCCGATGCTTCGAGTGAGGTACAAACTTGCAGAGTTTGAAGGAAATTGGAATTTTCGGGGTATTGAAGTCAGATATAAATTTCGATTTCGTCAAATGGCTCTTGACGCCCCGCGATCGAAACAGTCTGTTATCGATCGTCCTCTTGGTTTTCGCAGTTCGAGCTTATGCATCGGTTGCTGGCTTCCCTGAAGCGTGTCATGGAGCCGCCGGTGATAAAGCACCGTCCCCTGACGCGTCGTTCCGAGCCAGCGACTCAAAGGGTCAAGCCAACGCCGCCACCACCGGTGCCGACCGAGGAGGAGTGGCAATATTTGACCTTTTTCACCAACTACTGCAAGCAGGAGGATTTCACCGCCTATCGTACCGAGTTCCCGGACGATTTCGATTTAACGTTCCAGCCCAAACAGCTTCAGGAAGCTGATCAGGAGAGCGGCGACAGCGCTGAAAGCAGCGTCAAAGACGACGCTACGGAGAGCTGATCGAGCTGGTCCCCTCGTTACAGGTGTCCGGTGACGTTATTGGTAACACAGTGGATCATCAAAGTAGTCAGAGTACCAAAAATAAGTTTTTCTATTTGTCTATAAATGAAATTAATGCCATTGATGGAAAAATGGCAGATAGCCGTATGTGCCCAGACTCCATTGAATCTTATGTTGTCTTATAAAATTCGTAATAATGTTCAATAAAATACAAAGTATCAATAATAAAACAGTCATTTCACGTGAAACAACGTAATAAAATAAATTATCGACAAACATTACTAAGGTGTGGAAATAGCGTTCCTCTACGATAACAGTTCCACATCAGTCCTAAGTTTCGAGCATTAATCGAAGATCTGCTGTACACCGTTTAATAAACCGTAACCCGATTTTTATTCTACTTAGGTCTTTACAAACGTTTCAAAGTTTTATACACAAACTTCTCTCCACACTCAAGTTTTCCGAAACTCTCCCGTAGATCATATAGTTCCTTTTTTTCAAGCTAACAGAGTTTTTTCTCCCAGTCGACAGTAAAGGCAAAGTGCGTCACGAGGAAACGTCGGAAGCAGTAAAAGGAAAATTAATGGAACGTCGTTCCGTCAGTCGGGTCTAATTGAAGTCGTGCTCGATTCGAGGGAAGATGCATCTATCCTGCGATTTTCTTTCACCGTCTTCCATAATGCCGGATTACTGCGCTGGAAAACGTCGGAACGCACACTCCGAGGTGGCTTCTTCCTTTGCATTCCCTGGCTCCCAAAGGACCCCCTAGCCGAGGGGAACAAGAGGATGAAAGAGAACGAAGAGGCTCACGTGCGCCCGCTGTTCCTCGGCACACAAACCGGGAGTGTTTCGAAGAAAAGAGGAAGCAATTTCACGAGTGGTCCGGTGAAAAATGACGTCGAAACGAGGTTGATGGGTATACTATATATATAGGGTGTCCAAAAATATCTTCGACTCCCGGAAATGGGGGTTCCTGGAATGATTTGAAACAATTCGTTTCTTTAGCGAAAATCTTATCCGAGGCTTTTTTAACGAGATATTAACGAAAAAAGCAAAATTCGTATCAGTGTGGTGTTTACGTATGCTATAAATAGTAGATTGCAGAACACGAAGAAATAAACATTCTAACAAAGACATTACGATATTTAATTTTCTTACCAAAGTAACCCATTGTTTCTTAACGAAATCAGTACTCGTTTCTATGAAAGTCGAAGATACTGCTCGATTAATATTTACATTTACTCTATTTTTGCTCAATGGACGGTTGCAAAAAATATTTTCAATTTCAAAGACTATTTTCTTCTAGTTAGAAAAAAAATAGTATCCTCCTTCCATTCCAGTTTATATATTCAACAGTTTGAAAAAGTGGAAATACGGATGAACAACCACAAGTCCATCGATAAGTAATTCAGTGTCCAGGAAAGGAATTTTCTCCACGATGAACGAATTGATTCAAGGGTAGTTCTGTCCTGAGGGGTTGAAACGGCAAGGTGAATGAGAATTTTTAGGTCGGCCTTGATAGGCTGTCTCGAGACAGTCGTGTCGCGACACCAGAGTGCCACAAAGGGAGCTGAAAAGGTGAGAGAGGGTGGCTCGAGTTTAGCCGAGGACCACGTGTCTGCTACCGATCCCACTCGTGGAACAGAAGCGTCGAGAGCCGGATAGTTGGGTGTCGTTTCGAATGATCCTTGGATCTCTCTTTGGTCCCTCCGCTGCATCACAATCCACGTTGATTACGGCACTCTAATCGTAACAGGAATATTCATGAGAGAACTACAATCTTTCCTCGGAAATCTTCTTTTTATTTCGACCTATTAGAACCCTGAAGAGGTCATTCTCCTTTGACGGCCGAAGAAGTTGAGCAATCTGTACAGATTTTTCCTCAATAAATACAATATATAATCAAATGCATCTTGTTACCATTTATTCTATTACCTATAAATAGTATAAAAACTAATATCCAAAAATAATTCTATCACATTTTCATTGAAATTCTTATTCTACCACATCCTCAAACGACGCGTTAACTCATCCTCCCCGATTAACAGGTTACAAGAACTCCGTAATCATCCCTAGAAGATCGAAGAATCGCAAATACATCGTAAACCCGAGTAATTTCTTTTCCACCATCGTAATCTCCGCGGACAAGTCGTTCCAAGGATGGAAATCAAGAAAAAGGCGAGTTTACACGTTGAGAAAGGAAGCGCCGTGCGTCTAGAATTACGGTGCCCAGAAGAATGGGCCGCCAGTTCCTTTGGAAATCGGCGCTGGAAAGCCCGGATTTTGCGTACTTCGAGGAGGCCTTTCGAGATTATCCCCATGGCAACCAGGATTGCTCGATAGCAGACATGCTAGGGTACTCTTCAACGAGCCCGAACTCCCTCCTCTTTCCTCCATACCCTCATCCCCCAGTTGCTCTTGATCGTCCGTCTGTTTTCAACCCCCGTGCAAACGGCTGCTTTCGTGGGAGGCTCTTTCCTTTCTTCTTCTTCTTTTTTTTTCCCCTCACTGGTACGTACACCGTTTCTTCGGCGTGTTTCCGGCCCTTCACCACGTACAGCTGGGTCCTCCCAGCGCGCTATATTATTCACCATTCAGCTGTCCGTGAACTCTCAGCGGCTAGAGAGGTCCTTTTGTCTGGCGCGGCAGTAGTCGCCTCGGATCACCGAGCCGAATCTGAAGATGACTTCTTCTGAGCGGTGGTTGCACACTCGTTGTTCCGGGGACTTGATGTTTGAGTGATCGAAGCCTTGAGATGTTGTACCTGCCGGTGGAAACGAAGTTTATGGTTATATTGAAAGTAATGAGAAGAAACGATGAGGATTTCGACGATAGAAGGCTCTGGGTAGTAAATGGTGCAGCTGTGTGTATTACTTGACAAAGTTCCTTGTGGTGTTTGAGAGATTGAAGCCTTGAAGTCGTTGTACCTGGCGGTGGAAGCGAAATTTATAGTTATATTGAAAGTAATGAGAAGAAATGATGAGGATAGTATCCCAGCTAATGAAGTTAATCTATCTATATAGTCTACCCTCTCGGTTTCGTCTTTCTTTACATCTTCCATGTGATTAAAAAAGTTTGAAGATACCTCTGAAGTGGAGGGACACTTCTAAAATGAAGTCTCCGTAACACTTTCGCGAAGATCTGAAGCCTTGGATTTCTTGAGAGGTCTATCTTAAGATGAATCATTCCGCAGATGAGTATCTTCACTTTGAATACTTATTCTGACGATCATCAGGGCCGAGGAGCCTTCGAGCACTCGTCGAGGATTTACTGTAAATTCTGTGAAATTCTTGATTGAAGGGAAATTTGACAACAGTCATACGTTCTAGAAGTCCAAAGAAACAATTAATTCTGTCTTTTGAATAATATCGTCAGGTGACTTATCACTGTTCTTCACTTTACATAGTTCTTCGTATCACGATCTTCACGTACACAAGAGAAAATAAATAGAAACAGAGGAATTCTGTTAATCCGACACAAGCTAGGCAATTTAAACAATGGGGTCTCCGTAGTCCTGGTGAACTACTTTATTCGCTATTCAGCCGTCCGTGAACTCTGAATAAAAGAGCCCTTTGTCTCGAGTGCTACTCGTCCACGCGTTTCAATACGCGGGACGCTCTCCGCAGGCTCCGTAGCCAACTAAAGAACTGTTTACAGTGTTCGGTCAAATGTTATCCCGGATGAAAGGGACGCGTTGTCGAGAACCGGGTGATATTAATTTCCAGGCAGATAAGAAACGAGTTCCTTCGACGATTAAATCGCGGTGAAATCCGTTCGAGTGACCCTCACAAGGAGTGTATTTTAGGCGTCCGCCTTCGATTGCTTTGGTTTTTGGATATGTTTTAGAGGACCGAAAAATAAGAGATACATACTTTTTTACAGCGGCCCGTTTTCATATTTAGGGGGTGAAACCACCCCTCAGAGTTTCGACCCGGAAGTACTATCTCGAAAACCAGGAGATACATGAAAACATTCAATTGGTGGCTTTCATGGTTTTTTATGTACAATAAACTGGTGTTAACAAATTGTCAGAAATACAATTTGTTTATAACAAAAAAAATATCATTTTGAGAACATTTTTGGGAGGAAACTACGTGTATATCTCACAAGGGAAGGCACGGAAGTGTCGCCCTACGATTTTGATGAAACTTCGTATGTCTGTTAAGCAGTCAAAAATAAAGGACACGTATTTTTTTGTATCGGCTGAGACGCGACTTCAAGGGGTGAAACCACCACTCGAAATTTCTATCCGAAATTTTGTTGTTACAAACAAATTATATTTTGGACAATTCGTTAGCACCATATTATTCTACATAAAAAACCGCAGACCTCGTCCATTAGAAATTTTCATGTATCTCCTCTGGTATTCGAGATAGTAATTCCGGGTCGAAACTTTGAGGGGTGGTTTCACCCCCTAAATATGAAAACGGGCCGTTATAAAAAAATACGTATCTCGTATTTTTCGGTCCTCTGAAACATATCCGAAAACCAAAGCAATCGGAGGCGGACACCTAAAATACGCTCCTTGTCAGACGCAGAGGTCAGATCGTTTTAACGAATTCTACGCACGTGGAACAATTGTCGTACCGGAACGAAAATCAACGCGCAATTTTCCTTAATCGATCTTAATTTGTGGACAAAGCAAGAAGACAAGTGGGTCCAAGCTGCGCGGCGAGCCGTGAAACTTTCTCACGAGGTCTAAGAAAACCCGAGAGTTGATATTGTTGTTAACGACTCGAATAATTAACGACGCAGGCACAGTTGTTTCTTGGTTCTGTTCACTCGGCCCCCGAGAGAAATTTTCTCTGCGCGTTCACTTTCCAGCGAGATGCGTTCTTGGAAGTTGTGGCAGAATTAAAGACCTGTAGCTAATGTGTAGAAACTCTGGAGAAGTTGGAGATACACTTAGAGAATGGAAATATCTTTGAGTAGATTTAGAATACTTTTGATAATTGGAAGACCTTTGTCTAATCTAGCAACTCCAGAATAGTCTAGGATCC